TGCGTGTGGGACACCTCAGGGTGGCGCTAACTCCTCAGCCGCCCCAGGCGGGCTTGTCCTTCATGTCTCTGTGCATCCTCTTGTGCTGTTCCTGCTGCCTGAGTTGCCCTTCTCTTTTCTCAGCGTGGGAGATGCCCAGATTCCTTCACAAAGCCCAAGCACCTCCATGCATCCATGTGTGTGCTCCTTGTTAGTGTGTGTGCATTCACACCTCCACACATTCAGCAGTGTTTATCGCACCCCTCACGCTGTGCCAGGTGACGGGACTCAGTACAAAAGCCTCGTGACCCCTGCCTCCCAGAGCTTCCCTGGCAGCAGGAGAGCTGCACGTTACACAAAAGGACCACATCATGAAATATGTAACTGCAAGCCGTGACAGTGCCATGAAGGAAAAGGATACGGTACCCTGAGAGGGCAGCTGTGAAGGTGAATGGTGGGGCGACTTCGCAAGTCAGGGTTCTCACTGCACCCCACTGTGTACTCCTTCCTGCACGGCAGGGTCTGTGCTTGCCAGAGTGCTGCATGGAAGCCTTTATCTGCATCAGGATTCACAGAATTTAACTGGGTTGCCTCTCCTAACCCTTCATTCTTAGCCCCTTCTTTTTCATGGCCAACCATTCCTTAGCTGCTCTGATGTCAGACTGCCCTCCTCTCTCTCTCTGCCCCTGTTTCTACCTGTCTGCCTTTCTGTCTCTGTTCTCTTACTGCAACGCTCTCCCCTCCCCCTCTCTCCCTCTCCCCCTCTCCCCCTCTCCCCCTCTCCCCCTCTCCCCCTCTCTCCCTCTCTCCCTCTCTCCCTCTCTTCCTCTCCCCCTCTCTCCCTCTCCCCCTCTCTCCCTCTCCCCCTCTCTCCCTCTCCCCCTCTCCCCCTCTCTCCCTCTCCCTCCCTCTCCCTCCCTCTCCCTCCCTCTCCCTCCCTCTCCCTCCCTCTCCCTCTCCCTCCCTCTCCCTCTCCCTCCCTCTCCCTCCCTCTCCATCTCCCTCTCCCTCTCCCTCTCCCTCTCCCTCTCCGTCTCCCTCTCCCTCTCCCTCTCCCTCTCCCTCTCCCTCTCCCTCTCCCTCTCCCTCTCCCTCTCCCTCTCCCTCTCCCTCTCCCTCTCCCTCTCCCTCTCCCTCTCCCTCTCCCTCTCCCTCTCCCTCTCCCTCTCCCTCTCTCTCTCTCTGTCTTCTGTCTCCTTCCCATTACATCTAAATTGGGGTCTGGGGAGGTTGGACTTTCTCATTGATGTGGTCGATCAAAGCATCCATTCCCCCTAGAAACCAGCCAGGCTTCAGGTTATCTTCAAAGGGACAATCACGCGGCTTCTGCCTCTGAGGCTCTTTTTCTGCCATAAAAACACTGGAAAACGTTCAGTTGGCCTGCTTTCAGGGGTTGAGAGCCTTTCCAGAAGAATAGTCTCTCAGTACCTGACATTTCGCTGTATTATGTACCCAGGTTAGGTTTGATATTAAATGAACAGCACGTAATCTGAATGGAGTTTCTACTGCAGCTAAGTAATCTAGATGTATGTCCCATGAGGAGTATCACATGGGCTTCTTTGCAAATGCATTCTTGCTCTGGACTGGTCCCCGAAGCAAGTGCCTGCCAGGCTTTCTCTCATCTGCTCATGCTTCTTTCTCCGCGGGAAAGGGTTCCTTCTGATTGACTCCCTCAGTCAAGTGCAGGCTAACTCCGCAGCCGCCTCTTCGGGGAGGAGACGGTGGCCCCGGAGTCTCCTTGTTTTTATTTGTTTCCTCTCCGCTGAAATGAAAGAACTTCACCCTTTCTCCTTAGACCAGCAGGTTTGGGCACATTTCGGTTTATTTTTAACTGGCGAGGGATGAAGGTTAAGCACTTGGAATCTGAAGTACAAGCCTCAGGCATCCAGGAATGCAGGGATTTATTGTCCTGCTTTGCTTTACAAAATGTCCTGTGTCCCTGCACCTCCAGAATTTTCTGTGTTTCAGTCACTCGCATGTTGCTCACCCTGAACTTGGGTTGTGTGTACACTTTGGTTGAGAGAATCTTATTGCTCACAAACTCCTTCAGCGAGGTGCTTTTTCTTTTCTTTATTGTTATAAGGGTAGTTTCTATTCCTACTAGAACTTACTGCCTGAGATAGGCATGAAAATAGTGCCTTAAAAATAATTTCAAGTACCAATGTCAGTTAGCTGGTACTGAGTGGCTGGGGAGCTGTGTTGAGAAGAATTCTGAGGCCAGGAACAATGCTATGATGGATGGGTAATGTTTGCCTTAAGTATAGGATAGGGACATGGAGGCCAATATATGTATTTGCTGTTCCTGGTCTAATTCAAAGATATTTATATTCAGTTCAGAATAAAAAGACCAATTTTATTTAAAATATAAATGGCCATAAGATCAATTTCCGGTAGCTTCATTGGAGGCAGTGCACAGCCAGAGACTCCACAGGGACCAGTGCTTGTATCAGGCCAGGGCTGCTGAGTCCTCTGTGGACATGATTGAATTGAGTGTGTCCTACACCCAGGCTGACGGTACTGATTATTTGGTCCCCTCTGTGGCAAGCAGAATAATGTCCCTGAATCTGTGAATATGCTCCGTTACATGGCAAAGAAGAATTACAGTTGCAGGTAGAATTATCAGCTGGCCTTAAGATAAAGGGAATATACTGGATTATTGGGGTGAGTCCAGTGTAATCACAGCATCCTTAAAAACGAAAGAAGAAATCAGAGATGGCACCATGAGGAGGACTTGATTCAGCTGAGCTTTCTGCCCAACCTTGCTGGCTCTGAAGCTGGAGGAGGAGGGCCGGGTGCCAAGGAAGGAAGGCAGCCTCTGGGAGCTGGAAAGGTCAAGGAGACAGATGCTCCCCTCCAGCTCTTGGAAAGGGCTGTAGTCCTGCCAAAACCTTAAGATTATCCCAGGGAGAGCCATCTCAGACTTCTGAACTACCGGACTGTACGATAATATGTTATGTTCTTGTTTTACACCACTAAGCTTGTGGCAGTTTGTTACAACAGTAAGAAACCAATCCACTGTCTAGGCTGCCTCAATATAATGATAACGATTACCGCTAATATCTAGTGCCTGGCATTGTTGATAAGCATTTTATAAGCATTGTCTTAATTGGAGTGTACAGTCTTATGAGGTGGATACTGTTATTTATTCCCATTTTACAGATAGATACTGTTATTTATCCCTCACTTCATAGAAGCTCAGCGATAGCAAGTAACTTGCCCAAGTATGCAGAGCCAAGTGTCAGAACTAGTGCTTGAACCTAGGTCTCCAGGGTACCAAAGACCATGTCTCATTCACAACCCTCATGCCCTGAACCACAAGACTCAAAAAGCATTTTGCATTGAAAAATATTCTTTCAAATATGTAACCATGGCATTGTTTTTTAACAGCAAAAATGAAATGGAATCGTGAACAACAAAGAGTAGATCAATTGTGGTTTATTTAAGAACTAGTGGCCCGATGCATGAAATTCATGCATGGGGGGGGGGCATGTCCCTCAGCCCGGCCTGCACCCTTTCCAATCTGGGACCCCTTGACATTTGGACATCCCCCTCACAATCCGGGACCGCTGGCTTCTAACCTGCCTGCCTGATTGCCCCTAGCCACTTCTGCCTGCAAACCTGATCGTCCCCTAACCACTCCCCTGATGGCCTGATTGATGCCTAACTACTTTCCTGCCAGCCTGATGGCTCCCAACATCCCTCCCCTACTGGCCTGATTGTCCCCAAGGTTTTTATTAGTATAGATGGAACATTATGCAACAATTGGAAAGAATGTATGTGTTAGAGCCACTTCTATCAGCATAGTACCATCTCAAAATCATAATAATATCATCTCAAAAACAAAACAAGAACTTGGTTTTTAGGTCACCCATGTAATTGGTTCGTTATAAGGAGGAAGCACATTGACCTTTGGCTTTCATGATTAAGTATAAACCCATGGAGACGAAAACTGTGAAAACCATTCAATTATCACAGTAAATCCACTTAAACTTGAGCAACTAACAGTACAGTACTTTATGACTCTGAAATATGTGTTTTTGGAGTAAAAGTTCAGCCTGTGTTTTAAAGTAGAGCTTTGATATTATCAAGAGGTTGTACTCACTATGTCATATTACACATTGACTGAGGACTTACTTGCTTAAGCAAAATATGCGATTTGAAGTTGAATAGTATACTTTCAGAAAAAACAATGGTTTGAATTTCATTAATATACACACATATACTGTTTCCTTACTACTTTGATCTTTGGGGACCAGTTAAAGACAACCTGGTGAATTTGTAAGAGGAATTTTATGCAATTCCTTATATCACATTTCCAAAGAATACAAATTCACCAGATTGTATACTCTTCAACTTTAAACTATATTCATACCTTTTGAGCCCTGTGATCCAGAAAAGGGCCTGAGGATTGTGAATGTTGCTCTTCTTTATACTCCACATTTACTCTGTGTTCTTATGGAGTAGTTGGATGGATGGATGGATGGATGGATGGATCCCATATAATAAAAGTGTAATATGCTAAGTGCTGACCAATAGGTCGACTCAATTGCTTAACCAATTGCTATGATGTGCACTGACCACCAGGAGCAGATGCTCAGACTGGTAGGTTAGCTTGCTGCTGGGGTCTGGCTGATCAGGACTAGGTGAGAGGGTTGGACATGCCCTAAAGCCCTCCTCCAGTCCCTTCCTGACCGGCCAACCTTCTGTGGTCTCTACCCAGTCAGCTGTCCCCTTCTCCCCCCCGCCCCCATTGGGATTGGGCAAGATGGCCCTGATTGGTCCCAATCACTGGCCAGGCCAAGGGATCCTACCCATGCATGAATTTGTGCACTGGACCTCTAGAGGATAGATAAGTATGACGGATAGGTGAGTAGATGAATAGATTAATGAATTCTTGAATCTCTTGGTTCAAGATCTCTTGATTTGTTAAAATTTCTATATTTGAAAAATATATTTATGAAAAACCTCCTTGCTTATGTGGAAGAACAACTTATTACCTCTTAATCTCCTTTTCCTTCTAGATGTGGAAATGCTTCAGGCCAGTACATCTAGCCCAATCGCTGGAGAAAGTTTCTCCCGGGCCACTAAGGACTCTATAATCCGCAAGTTTTTAGAGGGTAAGTTGTAGCTATGAGCAGGGAAGCAAAAGAGAGAAAGAAAAACACAAGGAAGACATTACCTGGTTACATCTGAAAGTTGCTCCACTCAAGAAATGGGTTTCCATGTACATGGCCTATGGGTGATTGAAGCCATTCTACCCCGCTGGCTCTCCCATAAGCCTGTCACATGGAGGCCAGAAGTTCCCGCCACGGCAGCAGTTCATCTGGATTCACAAGTTGCCTTCAGCAAGACCTTTCTTTAAATGCACATGTTTCTCTTTAATCAAAATTGATTGAGAACTTACTAGGAGCAAATCACTATTGTGGATGTTGCACTGGGGGTCACAAAGAAAAATAAGATTTGACTTACTTCCTCTCTGATGAAGGAGAATATAGGGGAATATACACCACTGTTATTAAGTGGAGGCTGAATTGCAGTGGCTAAGAGCACTCCTCGGTTTGCAGGGAAAACGTGGGCAAGTTACTCAACTCCTTTGTGTCTCCGTTTCCCCAGTTGTAAAGTCAGATGAATGTTGTGAGAATTAAATGAGTTATTTTACATTAGGCCTCAGAGCAGGGCCAGAAATAGATCAGGTAATAAAGGTGTATTATTGTTGGTATTCTTTTCTTATCATTATTGAAGGTGTCAAAGGTGGAGGTGTTAAGTTATATGAGTAATCCCTTAACTCCGTTCAATCATTTATAATTTATAATGGAGTCTATTGATCAAATAGATGTAGAAGGCAGGGTGCTAAGAACATAGGATGCGTAAGAATAGTTTTAACAGTAAAGAGCAAAGAAAAGTTGTATTAGTAGATAAATCACAGGGGAGTCAAGAGCAGTCTCCCCACTGCTCAGAAAATGCAATGAAAAATCCTTAATAAATACTAGATTAGAAATCTCCATAGGAAGGAGACCCAAGCTTCACTCATCCCTGTATCTCAATTAGGCTTTTAATACAGATTTGTTGGCTGAATGGTGCTAGAGAGAAGAAGGAAGGGAGAGAAAAACCCCTACTATGCGTATACACTGAGTTGGGTGCTTTCCCTTTATTATCTCATGTTGTCCTCACAGTATTCCCTTGAGTAGGTCTCAGAGGGAAATCAGGTTCAGAGAACATGTTCCATAACATGTTCAAGGTCACACAGCTCTCATGTATGAGGTGTGGCTGGCACACAGGTTGGCTGAGATTCCCGAGGACAAGAGTACCTTGTGTTTGGGTCTGAGCACAGTGCATTTCAGCCTGTTACCAGAAAGGAGGCAGAGAAATTCTGAGGGACAGAGGGCGGGTGGCAAGCTTCGTTCCTAAGTCTTTTGGTCACTGGGGAGCAGAGTGGCGGCAGAGGTTGCAAGAGAGGCAGTAGAGCTTGCTGGTTAGGAGCACAAGCTCTGGAACCGGTGTTTCTGGGCCCCCATCTGGCTCTAAGCGACTCTGAGCAAGTTCTTTACATCTCCAAGACCCCAGGTTCTTTATCTGCAAAAGGAGAATAATGATTACAGTGCCTCCATAGCGTTGTAATACAGTCAAAGGAAATAATGTGGGTAATACACTTGGAGCAGTACTGGGCACAGAGGAAGTCCTTGGGAGGGGTTTGCTGCAGTCATTTTGATGCTGAAGGTGAGGGTGCTGGAGCTGTTGGTGGGGAGGCCTCTGAGCCACCCTCCCAGTGCTGCCCAGACCCAGGGGTTGGTTCCCAGTGTCCTTGGACTTTAGGGCTATACTACCCTTTCCTTAGTTCCAATGGGAAGAATAACTGAGTTTTGGCAGTAAAATTAAGATGATAAGAGCCTAGAACTCACTTCTTTTTGCTGCGTTGATGGGGGCCAAAGAAGGTGACATCAGTGTTTTCTCAGTTGCTTTGCATGGAGTTGGTTCTCCACCACTGCTTCCAGTCACCTGTAACTCTGTTTCTAGGCAATAATGTGAGCATCGCCACTCTGGAGAAGGAGCAGTTCCATCAGGATCCAGAAGATGTTTATCACACAGTGGAAGACGATGAGGCCTTTGCCCTGGACCTGGCCAGCAGGCCCCCCGTCCCAGTGCCCAGGCCAGAGGCCAGTGCTTCTGGTGCTCACCAGGTGCCCGACAATGAACCGTACATTTCTAAAGGCAAGTTGCGGGGAGTGATGCCCTGGGGGGTATGCAGAGCTTCTCAGCAGGAAGGTCCTAGATTTTCTAGCTTCTGAATCAGCATCACTCGATGGTCTCAGGGTCTCCAACCAGCCTCAAGGGACAGTGTCAGAGCGTGAGGCAGATTCCAGAACTAGACGAGGGGCAATGATCAGATTCAGTTCTGGCCTCCCTGAAAGCATGTATACACAGTGTGGAGACAGAGGTATACAAGTTTCCTTCCACAAGACAAGAATCTACTTTATAAACTCTAAAGTGCTATAGTGACATAAGTTTTGTTAAATAACATGCCTAGGTATTACTGTCCTATTGGCATCAATTTCAAAGTTTAGATGTGAATAATGAGAATCAAAGCTATAATTGAGAACTCACATGTGCCAGACATCTGTCTAAGTACTTTCCATGTATCAACTCATGCAAACCTCACAGCAACCCAACAAGGAAGATACTATTGTCATTCTCATTCTACAGACAGCAAAACTGAGGCCAGGAGAGATAGAGCTTAAGATCATGTGGCTCATAAGGGCAAGCCAGCATTTGAGTCCAGGGATTCTGGTGCAGAGCCCAGGGAGTCTTAACCACCACGCAGGCCACTAGGTGGACATCAGTCACTTTAGTTTTCCCTATTAGCCTCTATGGGTCTGCCCCTCATGAGTGACTTCATCTAAATTCCTTTGGAGCTCTGCACATTGCTCCTGTCCCACCCATCCGCGTTCTGTCTTATGCCACTCGTTGACATGTTAAGTGGCACTTCCTTTTATTTGTAAGCGTCAAGGTGTTCCACAGCTAGCTTCAGGCATTCGGGGACCCAGTGCACATCGTTTCCATCGCCCTTCTCTGTAATGGCCTGGCTTTGTCCTTCTGGGTTTGAGACCTTGTCTGCTTGGTTTGTCCTCATCTCCGAATCCCTGCAACTTCTGCTCATTAGTTGCTCCTCTGAGAGTGTTGATTTACAGAACTCCATACACGGTCCAAGGAGTGAGGTCCTTATGATTATCAATTTTGTACAAGGTCTTGCTAATTTTTGCAAATGTATAAGACATTTTAAAGCCCTTTAGAAAGAGATCGGATTTGGCTCTTACCTAGAATACTGTTTATCTCACAGTTTTTGCAGAAAAAAGTCAAGAGCGGCCTGGGAATTTTTATGTTTCCTCAGAGAGCATCAGGAAAGGTAAGCCAGTTGTCCTCAGCCCCCTTTTGTCCGACCTGAACTTGCAGCGGGGAGAAGTGTTAATGTTTCAGTGATTTCCAGGTGTTAAGGCAAATCCTTAGTGGGCATTGATAAATAAGGAGGTCCGGGAGATACCGTGGTGGAGCTGCCTGAGAATCCTGTACTGATGGGAAAGGGGAGGGAGAAGAGATTGGGGTGCCCACAAATATTGTACAAATTTGTCACACTAGGGATAGCAACAATCTAGAAAGTGTCTGTAACAGCAGACAAAAGGGAAGCCTGCAATCTCCCAATGACAAAGAATTTGTCCAGAATGTCCCTGGTGCCTGGGCTGAGAGAAAGGCCCCTCAGTAATTCAGGTTTGAGGAGTTTCGTTTACTCATCATTCAGATTTCAGACCTCCCTAAAACATGGTGGTCTTTTCTACTTTCATGTGATAAGCTTCGACGTTATTCGCTGCTTCCTTCTCTCCGATTCCACATCTTCTGTGCCCCTTCCTGATTTCACATGCAATTGTGCTTTTGAGAAGCGTCCTCTTGAGCCCAGGGCCAGCCTTGTTAACCCACTCATCCCTGACGCCCCAGCTGGGGAGCTGTCAAGCTGAGCTTTGCCTTCCTTTCCAGAGCCTCCTCCTCCTGTCAGACCGTGGCGAGACAGACCCCCGTCGAGTATCTACGATCCTTTTGCTGGGATGAAGACGCCAGGCCAGCGGCAGCTCATCACCCTCCAGGAGCAGGTGAAGCTGGGCATCGTCAATGTGGACGAAGCTGTGCTCCACTTCAAAGAGTGGCAGCTCAACCAGAAGAAGCGGTCGGAATCCTTTCGCTTCCAGCAGGTAGCTGGCTCCGGAAGGAACTGGTTTCGTGTCTGTGTCTCCTAGACAGGAGTGGAGGGCTGGGCCCACAGCTGTCTTTTGTGTGTCCGCCACTGAGCCCCTGAGGTGGGGCCATTTGAGTGTTGTTGTGAGTCAGTGCATGTGTGGATCTGTCACCTGTAACCACCATGGCTCCCTGGCTGAGAGCTGGATAGCTTTTCTGGTTGTCGCCAGGGTAGAGATCAGGAACAAAGACTCAACCCCAAATCTGCGGCTGTGGCTTCCCTCTGCATGGGGCCTTTTGCTGTTGCTTTCCAGCCTTTTCTTTTCAGAGTCTCTGTCTCTTCTCCTAGTGGCAAGACTCCTACAGAACTATCACACTTTAGAACTCAAAGAGAACTTGGAAAGCTCCCAAGAAATACAATAAAATAAGTCATAGATATAAAACCTGCCCAAGTTAAAACACACACACACACACACACACACACACACACACACACACACACACACTTCCAGCACTTCCCTTCTGCTCCCTGGGCCAAGCTTAGTCTCTCAGTCACCGTCACAGCCCATCCATCTTGCAGTGTAGGTTTATGTGAACCTTCTGTGTGTCCGGATGTTAGTCTGGGGGCATTTTTCCTAGAATGCACAGACTCTTCACTTCCAGTGACTGTTGTTTATTGACTAAAATAATAACAAATTTCCACCCTCACATGTCCATTCAACATTTATTGAATGACTATAATAGACCTGATTGCAGAATTACAGAAAGATGCAGGACTTGATCTCACTCTTTAAGAGTTCACAGTGTCTCTGAAGAAAACACACACACACACACACACACACACACACACACACACACACACACAGCATAGCCCAGTGCCAGATGGCATGGGTAGTCACAAAGGACCAGCGCATGGCAGGGAGGCTTCAGGGAGAAGGGGAGCTTTGACCCAGGCCTGCAACAGAATGATGGAAAACAATCGATGCCCTTCAAGGTCAGGGGAATCGGAACACAATTTCTGAGGCAGGAATGTGATGTGCGTGGAGTGTTTGTGAGCAGGGAGCAGACCAGGTTGGCTAAGGCATACAAGGAGGATAGCAGTGGGCTATGAGGATGGGAGACACTTTATGGTGGACAAGGTGTCTCTCTTCTCTTCAGGTGCAGCTTCTAAGTGTACTTAGAATTCTCTGGGGGAAGATTGCAAATGCACTCAGCCTCATTTGCATGTTGGAGATATTATCGCAATGCGATATACTTACAAATAGCATAAACTCAGAAAGAAACTCTAATGCCTGGAGGGGATAACTCTGATGCATACTCTAAAAACAAACTGATTTTTCCCCAGGAAAATCTTAAACGGCTAAGAGATAGCATCACCCGAAGACAGAGAGAGAAGCAAAAAACAGGAAAGCAGACAGGTATGTGGCTCTGGGGGTGAGGGAGTTTGCTGCTTGCCCAGCACCTGTCACCCTGTTTACATATCCAGGTCCCCCGCTAGACTGTGATGTCTTTTGGACAATGGCTTTGCCTTGTTAGTTCTCTATGCCTAGTACCTGGGACATAAGACATGCCAGTCAGCAAGTGAATGAATGAGTGGCTTGAGCTCTGCATCCCTCTACCCTCCCACTCCAAGAGGGCGGTTTCTCCCCAGGCACCAACTCTCCCCTGGGCATCCAGGAAGATACGGGTTTTGTACAGAGAAAGGAGAAAATCCCGCTTGCATGGTACCTGTTTTGGTTCAAGCAGGGAATTGTGTCATCGGTGTCCACACCACACACTGCGTCAGAAGCCCAGGGCCCACGCCGAGCAGGGCTCCTGCCGGGTTTCATGGCCGTGAATCCCAGTGCATACTGAGGACCAGGCCTCTGTTTTCCCCTTGACTCGTCCTCCACGTGGCACCAACACCCTGCAAGGAGTGGGCATTTGCTCACACTGCATATTCCCCCTGAGAACCTGTGGCAGGTGGTTTGCTCTAGCCAGCTTTACACCGAGAGGAGCTGGCAAAAAAAAAAAAAAAAGGCTTTCAGGGGCTCCCAGATCTTGAATGGAGCCTCATTACATAAAGAGATAAATCTTCTCCAGCTGCCATCAGCAGCCTAGTGAGTATTAATGATTTTTAATATTTGGGAGAAGAAGGGTATAAACAGGTGTTAGCCATGGTAGAAGGTCAGAGAGGTCATCCTGATGATTTTAAAAATATGCTGCCACTAGTTAAGTCCACACGTGTCTGTCCTGCTGGTGAGAGGAGGAGAAAGGAGAAAAGGCAGAAAATCTGGTTCAAGATCTGCTAGTCATCCTTGGATTGGACAGAGGGTTCTGGGTAGTAAAGGGACTGAGGTGCTTTTTCTTTTTACTTTTTGGTAATCCTCACCTAAGGTTATTTTTCCATTGATTTTTTTAGAGAGAGTGGGAGGGAGAGAGAGAGACAGAGACAGAGAGAGAGAAACATCAATGTGACGCATCCATTGGTTGCCTCCTGCACATGCCCCAACCAGGGTTGGGATGAAGCCTGCAACCGAGGTATGTGCCCTTGACAGGAATCAAACCCAGGACCCTTCAGTCCGATAGCTGACGCTCTACCCACTGAGCCAAACTGGCTAGGGCAGAGGTGCTTTTTAAAACTAGAATGCATGAACTCAACAATGGAAGCCTTCAAGCTTTTAAATATAGACAGCAGCGAGAAAGCTGCAATTTGGCGATGCACGAGGGGCAAGAGAGCCAGGGTATTCAGACACCGGCTCCCACGTCTTTGGTGGAGGCCTGCTGGGGTGTGGATGGGGGCCCTGCAATCTGGCTACCAGAGGAAGCCTTGGCAGCTGGGAGTCAGACCCTGCACTGGACGGTGTGGCCCAAAGGCTTCAGAGCACCTGCCAAAGAGAAGGCATTATCCGTGGTTGAGTAAATACGATCTATTAGTTATCTCCATAAAACTCGATTATATATATATTTAGTAACATACTAACTGGTAATTGCCTATTCTAGGGATTTTCACACTGTGTGCACACTTGTGAGGATGGGGGTTTGATCCCCAGCCCCAATCTGGGAGCTTGAAGGAGGTAGCCAATCAGTGTGTCTCTCACACCCGGCCCCACAGAGAAGACAATCAATATTTGTGTTCTGGGTGTGACTGTGGCCGGTCCGGGGCAGGGCCAAGAGCCGCAGGCTGGGTCCCAGGAGACTGAGTTCTGATCCCCACGTGGTCACTGGAGCATTTTATAACCCAGGACAATTCCTTGATCCCCCCTTGTGCTTCAGTGTCCTCACCCATGGTCACACCTGACTGACTTCCTTACTGGAGAAGTGGTGACGTTCACAGGAGGTTTTATAACACATGTGAACGCACTTTGGGGAAAGTCCTAGGCAATCTAGTAATGATAACTAGCATTCCTGACATTGTTCCTTTGTTCAAAGACTGTCCGGATTTTGTAGACATTTAGACTGGCTCTACTTAATTTTTTTTAACGTTTGACTCCCTTCCTCCTCCCTCCCCCAACCTATTCTACTTTTCTTCCTCCTAGAATTGGTTGAGAGTGGAATATTGCTTCATTGAAGTGAATGAAACAGGAGCCTCCCTTTAAAAGATTGTTGTTTAAAAAAACCATGCCAGGCCGGGACCGGTTTGGCTCAGTGGATAGAGCGTCGGCTTGGAGACTGAAAGGTCCCGGGTTCGATTCCGGTCAAGGGCATGTACCCTGGTTGCGGGCATATCCCCAGTAGGGGGTGTGCAAGAGGCGGCTGATCAATGACTCTCTCTCATTGGTGTTTCTGACTCTCTATCTCTCTCCCTTCCTCTCTGTACAAAATCAATAAAATACATTTATAAAAAAAAATTAAAAAAATTAAAAAATTAAAAAACCATGCCAGGGCCCAACCAGTGTGGCTCAGTGGTTGAGTGTCCATCTGTGAACCAGGAGGTCTAGTTCAATTCCTGGTGGGGTACATGCCCGGGTTGCCGGCTCCATCCAATAGGGGGAGTGCAAGAGGCAGCTGATCAATGATTCTCTCCCTTTCCCTTCTCTGAGATCAAGAAAAAAAATAATATAAACAATAACAACAAAACATGCTAGGTCAAAGCTGAGAGAGGCAAAAAAGTGAGACAGTTATTTGGACTTTAAAAACCCATAGGCTCACACCCATAGGCGGGTACACCTTACTAGTCTCTGCCCATGTGGTTCCAAGTGTGGTTGGGTGCTTCCACCATTCAGTTGTAACCAAGAGAGCCGAGGAGGTGAAAAAGATGTGTGCTACACAGAGACCTGAAAAGCGGGTTTAGTACTAATACCAGACATGGCACATGGAACTGGAGTCTCTAAAATGAGGAGAGCTTGTGACTTCACAAACCAACAATGCACCTTTTTTTTTCAATCCTCACCTGAGGATATGATTTTATTGATTTTTAGAAAGTGTGGAAGGGAGAGAGATAGATAGATGATAGAAAGAAAGATAGAAACATTGATCAATTGCTCCCACTGAGGATCGAACCTGCAACTTAGGTATATGCCCTGATCAGGAATTGAGCCTGCAACCTTTTGGTGTACAGGAAGACACTCCAAGCAACTGAGCTACCAGCCAGGGCCAACAATGCACCTTTTCAATATTCTCGGTGCAGAATGTTTGTCATCCACTTGGTCTATCCTGTCTAGCTTATCCATGTGCCCTTACTGGCAGACTTCTAGCTTTGGCAAACAGAGCCACCTCTACCCTTGGACTCCCTGAATGAACTTCCTGCTATGCCTATCCCACAGAAGAGTGGGGTGGAGGAGGAAGTGATACCTGGAAGATAAGGTGCCACGTACACCTGAGCTTGCACCTCTCCCCAGAGGTCCTGCCTCATGCAGCTAGCAGAGCTCACCTGGCATTTACACTTCCCTAGGGAGGAAGCTAGTGCACCACCTATAGGTGTTTTATTCTGCTCGAACAGCACGAATTGTTTTCTGGGCATATAACCAGGGGTGGAAATCTAGGGAGAAATAAAGTCAACCACTAGGCAGGGCGAAGCCAATAAAAAGGTCAGGTCAGCCCTGGCTGGTATTCTCGATGGTTAGAGCCGTGGCCTACACACGGAAAGGTCTTGGGTTTGATTCCCTGTCAAAAGGCACATACCTGGTTTGCAGGTTTGATCCCCAGCCCCAATCTGGGAGCTTGAAGGAGGTAGCCAATCAGTGTGTCTCTCACATAAAAATTTTTTTTTTCCTTTCTCCCTCTCCCTACCTCCTTTCCACTCTCTCTGAAAAGCAATGGAAAACATATCCTTGGATGAGGATTTAAAAAAACAAGAGAGAGAGAGAGAACAGGTCAATGCTTTGCAGGACAAAGAAATAATCTATCTTTCTGAATCTGTGGTGTCAAACCGTCATCAGTCTTGCAAGTGTGAGAATATTTCTCAGGCCATTGGGCCTCCTTTTACAACTCTCTGTTGTCAGTTGTGAGCCCCCCACCCATCCTCCATCATTTATTCTGGGATTGAGAGGCAGTGTGAGTAGTGTGAAGAGCCTGAACTTGGGAGTCTGATTTGAAGCCCAGCGGTCCCACTTACCAGCTGTGTATTGGGAGCATGCTGCCTCACTTGCCGTTGCCTCAGTTTCTGCTGGGAATGGTGACAGTAGTGTTTATTTCATGGTGCTGAGAGGTTTCAAGGAGCTAAAAAGATGGCTGCTCTTAGAATTCTACCTAACATTGCCCGGCAGGCATCTCAGCTGTTGGGCATCAACCTATGAATCAGGAGGTCATGGTTTGGTTCCTAATCGGGGCACATATCCGGAATGCAGGTTAGATCCCCAGTGTGGGGAATGAAGCGGGGGAGGAGGGGAGCAGCAGATCAATGATTCTCTCTCATCATTGATGTTTCTCTCTCTCCCTCTCTCTCCCTCTTCGAAGTTAGTAATAGTAATAATAATAATAATAATAAATAATAATGATAAAGAATTCTACCTAATGCACAGGATAACCTATAATTAGAACCAATGATGTGCACACCCCCTCCTCAAAAAGGGAACTAATTCAGAGAGGTCAACTGAATGACTCCCATTCCATAGCCGGAGCCCCAAATCTTTCCCTAATCAAATATTCTTTCCACTACCCGGAAAGGAAGCACTTCCCTGCTTTTTCTCACATCCCTCATCTCTCTCTTTTGCTCCCCAACAACGGCCACCCAGGATTCTGTTGGAGTTTCAGTGATGAATTGGGCAGAAGCCCAGCTGTTCTCCCTCCTCTTCCTCTCCTCTTTGCTCTCTCCTCTCTGCTCGCTCTCCTCCAGACACCGTCCAGGTTCAGGTGAGGGAGGCAGATGGAGAGGGAACAGCCAAGCAGTTTGGTAAATGACAGTCTAGCACTTGAAGCTTATCCCGTTTTCCTCTCATTCCAGCCTTGGAGATCACCGTCCCAATTAGGCACTCACAGCTGCTGCCCAGCAAAGTGGAGATTGGAGTCTATGAGAGTGGCCCCAGGAAAAGCGCCTTCCCCGCAAGGACGGAGCTAAGACGAGGAGACTGGAAGACAGACAGCACCTCCAGCACAGCGAGTGAGCAGGCTGAGCCTGGTGGGGTGGGGAGGGGGAGAAGGTGCTTTCACAGCTGACTCCAGCTGGCTGGGGCCTTTGGCCTCTGACACAAGCTCTGTGATGAGCCCACACATCTCAGTAGGAGCCTGCTTTGGGTTTGGGATATGTAAGAAATGGGGGCATTTAACCTGTGAGTTTCACCTTTTTTTCAGGGACCAAAGATCCATTACACAAATACTCCCTACAGCCAGGTTGCATGATAATGGCTACCCTAGTCCTTTTATAAATAGAAAAAATCTAGTATAATACTAGTTAACATTGAGCATTTACTACACATGCTAAGTCTCTTCACTAGCTTCTTTCATTTAATTATCATCATGACTGCATGGGAGGAGACCGGAGGCTATGTGCCTTGCTCTCCGTTACATAGCTGATAAGTGGTAGAGCTGGGATTTGAACTCAGGTAAGCTGGTCCAGGGCCAAGACTTTAACCATTATTCTTTTTGCATCCTTAACCCGTGTTAAGGAGAGGGAAAGGGCACAAAGTCAAAACCATTAGAAAACAATGGAATCAAATTTGAGAATTCCAACTAAATGGGTGAGGATTTAATTAGGAGATGTCTTCCTTTTGGCTGGAAGACTTGAATCAGCGCCTGATTGCAGCAGACAATAGGCAATGATGTGCAGGCTGGAGCTGGGGACTTTGTTTCCACATCCAGGGCCGGTGCTAGCCGACTTCACCACCCGAGTAGAGGAGTTTCCTTTAGTGTTATCAGCACAGCTAGGAATGCCAGGAAAGAGCCAGGGGCAAGCTGAATTTCAGGACTCCCATCTCCTAAAATGTCAGGCATTGGCGTTGGATGTTGGAACAGAATGTCAAACAACAGAGGTATGATGGGAGCATGCTGCCTCGCTTCTCCGTGCCTTAATTTCTGTTGGGAATGATGGCAACAGCGATTATTTCATCAGGTACAGGAAGATCATTGAACCCAAGGGTTCTCGATCTTTTCTGCATCACAAATGCCTTGGTGGATCTGATACCTGCTCTCGATGCACTTCCTGAAAAATGTATATGCGCTCGAGGGCGCACACACATACACACAGACACGCACTTTTGTTCACTTTTAGGTCAAGAACCTCTGAACGAGTTTCCCTCCTTACTTTATAGATAGAGTATTTGCAATCCAGAAAAGGAAAGAGTTTTGCCCAAGGTCACACAGCCAGTGAGTGGCAAAATGGAAGTGGAAGCCAGCTCCTCTCAGGTTAACATTCCTGCTACTATTACCTATCAAAACAGTCCCAAAGTATACCACATGACCACATGGGAAGTCTAGACTGGACAGAGAGAACTTCCCCTTACATTATGGGGGGGTGATAATGCATATCTAAAATCCCCTTAAGGCAATTTAGAGAATTCTGACAAGTTCAGAAATGAGAGATTTTTTTCAGGAATCCCAGGTGATGGAGGAAACAAGGGCACATGGTCCATCTCTCAGATATTTCCTGGAGGACAGAAATGGTACAAACCCTCTCAGGGTGAGGGCAGTCCATTGTAGGGGAGGGGGAGGGGAAATTTAACAAGACAAAGGCAAAGTCCTTGGTTCGGGTACAGATTAATTTTAAAGGCTTTATGCACGTGCTTTACTCTGAGTTAGTTTGGGGTTAGGTGTTGTAGTGTAACCCCCATCTTAAAAAGGACGCCTCAAAAAAGTCGAATTATGGAGTCATTTATGAAAGTTCGGGGGCATAAAAGGGGCTAAAGCTCCAAATCTCTCAGCCCCGAACAGCTCGCCACTTCTGGCTTATATTGGCAGAATATCACAAAAGTATCGATTACATCTTTGGGTCTGGGATGAGGAATCTGTTTCTTGAAAAAGCATTTTTACAGAAGCAGAATTTGAGCAACTTAGTGATCTACGAATCACTGAATCAACAGAAACACATTATCTGGGACTGACCACCTGGACAATTTAGAATAATTGTGCTGTCCAAATTCTGGGATCACTGAGTCAACGGGAATGCACTGTCAGTAGCTACTAAGGCAATTTAGGGTAATGGAACTGTCTTGGGTCCCAGGAATGTGCTTCGGTGACCAATGAGATCACAATCAATGGGATATTTAAACCATCATCAATGGAGTATTGAGAGAGCATACAAAAGTTCAGAAAGTCAAAATAATTTTTAAATGAGTACAGAACCCAAAACAGCAAGGTTAAAATATTAAACAGCAATTTTTACCCAACTATAGTTGCTACCATATTCATAGAAACAGAATGGAAAACATAAACGGTGCTTCTTACCTTGTGCAGTGGTTTATGGCCTAGGGATGGCTAGCTCATCTGGCTAGAAAATGTTAGTAAGGACACTGATGGATTTTACCCTACCCTGTGGCTATAGACTGCATCCAGTCCCTTGTTAGACAGTTCCAGTCACCTATTGCTTTGTAACACACCACCCCAAACACAGGGGCTTGTAACGAACATTCATTTGTGAAGGAGGCTGAGGCCCTCACCCTCTGCAGGCTGATGACTTGCTTGCCCATTCCCCTTGGATTGTACAATTGTGATACATGCACATGTTTGACATAATTTCTAAATAGAAAACTTCAGCAACAAAACTTGTTTGCAGCTTTCAGAAGTAGCCCGAACAAGTGAAAAATAGAGCATCTCTGCTTCCCTGTCAAATCAGAGCACTAGTACCACATAGCATTTTCATAGGGGTTAAGTAATGTTTTTATAGCACACTAGAGGCCTAGTGCATGAAATTTGTGAACTTGCGTGTTCCCTCAGCCTGGGGGGAGAGGGGAGGCTCTCACTGTGCAGGGGCCTTTGGGGGATGTCTAACTGACATCCTTAATGCTGCTGAACAGGTGGGAAAGGCTCCCACCACTGTACCTGCACTCGTCAGCCATGAGCCCAGTTTCTGGCTAAGCGACGCTTCCCCTGTGGGAGTGCACTGAAAACCAGAGGGCAGCTTCTGCATTGAGGGTCTGCCCCCTGGTGGTCAGTGTGCATCATAATGACTGGTTGTTCTGCAGTTCAGTTGATCTGCATATTAGCCTTTTACTATATAGAACTAGAAGCCCGATGCATGAAGATTCGTGCTAGAATGGCCTTTCCACTCTGGCCCAACCCCTTTCCATTCAGGCCCCAAAGCCACCTCTTTCCACTCCTAGAGCCACCTCTTTCTGCTCCAACCCCGCCTTCCCACATTACCCAGAGGCCCTAAGAGACCAGAGGTGGAGTAGAACGCCCCACCTACCCCCATCACTCAGTGCCTGTGTATGCAAATCAACTGCCATCTTTGTTGTGTTAATTTGCATATCACTCCTGATTGGCTGGTGGTGTAGCGGAGGTACAGTCAATTTACATGTTTGTCTCTTAGTAGGTAAGATAATGTATGAGAAGCCCTCTGTAAATGGTATTTGTAAAGCAAAATATGTAATAAAAAGGTGAACCATTTTGTTTTATACTGAAAGAAAAACTGACCTCTAGTAAAATGGTTTAAGATTGGCAACATTTGAAAACCCGTATATTCGCAGCTTATGTATTGTTGCTATCGGTAAAAATAAATACGTGCTAGAGTTGTGCAATGTATTTCAGCCTGAGAGAATGTAAGGTCCTTCTGATTTTGTTTTTACCCTCAGGCAGCATGAGTAACCGATCCAGCACTCGGAGCCTCCTCAGTGTGAGCAGCGGGATGGAGGGGGACAATGAGGTGAGTAAGAGCCGAGACCCCCATCTGTCTAGTCCTAGGGGTCATTTCATTGCAAGAAATAGAAATCCAGGTGAAAGAAGCCAGACACAGAGATCACATATTGTGGGATCCCATTTCTATGAACTGTCTTGAATGGGTATGTCCATGGAGACAGAATGCAAATTGGTGGTTGCCCGGAGCTGGGGGGAGGGAGAAATGAGCAGAACTGGCTCAAAGGGCACAGTGTTTCCTTTAGGGGTGATGAAAATGATTTGGGACTAGATAGAGGTAATTAGTGGTTGCACAATATTATAATATACTAAATGCCACTATGAGCTGCTGGCTTTATAATGGCTTCATTTACGCTTAGAATTTCATCTCAATAAAAAGAGGAAAGAAGCCGAAACCGGTTTGGCTCAATGGATAGAGCGTCGGCTTGGGGACTGAAAGGTCCCGGGTTCGATTCCGGTCAAGGGCATGTACCCTGGTTGCGGGCATATCCCCAGTAGGGGATGTGCAAGAGGCAGCTGATCGATGACTCTCTCTCATCGATGTTTCTAACTCTCTCTCTCTCTCCCTTCCTCTCTGTACAAAATCAATAAAATATATTTTAAAAAAAAAAAGAGGAAAGAAGATGGAAAGGAAAGAAGGGAGAGAAGGAGTGAAGGAGGGAGGGAGGGAGGGAGGGAAGAAATCCACTCAGGCTGGTTAAGCCGAAGGGGCATCTATGAGAAGGAGCTGGATGAGTCTTCCGGGAATCAGGCACAGTGATTGCAGTTTGGGGCCTAGATCAGAAGTGGCGAGATGCTAGAGCCAATGTCACTGGTCTGTTTCTCAGGGCCATAAGCTCTATCGTCTCTACTTCTCTGTGGATATCTACTCTCTTTTCTCAAAGCTCCCAGGTATTTTCTGCCTCCACAGCTAGAGTTGCAAATAGTCCCTTGAGGTCATAAGATCTCCCAGCAGGGAGTAGCTCTTGGTTCTGACTCAGGGACCAGGGGCTGGGACAAGTGGTAGTGGTCACATGGGAAAGGATCATCCAGGAGACTCCTCAAGAAAGGGTCCTAGGAATGGGGCCATCCCTTCAGTGCACAGCTATGTGTTTTACCCTGTGATGGCTCTGTTGTTCCCCAAAGGGACTTTTGTTTTAAAATAAAAATTCTCCAGCTCTATCTGCTTATATAGAGCAGTGCTTCTCAAACTTTAATATGCAGAAGAGTAGCCCAAGATCCAGTTAAAATGCAAGTTCTGATTGAACAAGTCCAAGGAGCAACCTGAGATCCTGACATTTCTCACAAGCGTCCAGGTGATGCTGACCTGGATGGCCCAGAGACTGTGGTTGGAATAGCAAGGACCATTAATGATCATATGGGCCTGATTGTCTGCTGAGCGGCTCCACGAGTCAATGGGAAGCTGCCCTGCTTTTGCTGGGTTGATGATACGTTTGTGAATAACGGTCAGCCAAAGCCTGAGGAGGCATTGGGGCTTTGGGGATAGTGGTATATGTTCGTCTGCCTCCCCTGATCTTGAAAATATGCTGGGAACTTACCACATGCTGGTTGCATGATGTAATTTTCACCAATCAGTCTTGTGTTTTGTTGTTTTTTTTTTTTTCTTTTTCTTTTTTTTTTTTTTTTTTTGCTGTAGGATAACGAAGTCCCTGAGGTGACCAGAAGTCGGAGTCCAGGCCCCCTACAAGTGGATGGAGCACCTGCCCTGCCCCTGGACAGGCCCCCCAGGGTGCCGCCCCGAGCTGCCTCACAGAGGTAACATGGAAGCGGATAGGAAAGTTTTCCCTTCACTTTCTGAATCTTGTTTAAGTTGTTAATTTAAGTGGCTCATCAGAATGGAATTTAGAGATGGTTTGTTTGTTGACCCATCCCGGTTGCAGAGTAGGGCTCGGAGAAAGAGGGGCCAGCAGGGAACCCTGATGCTCTTCGTGGTGGAAGGTAAATCCCAGGGGAGAGGAGGAGCTTGGGACATCTAAGATGACCCAAGAATGACTGCCTGCTTTTGTCCTATTTCCATGTGGATGCTTCGTTAATTTAGGCCATGCTTTATTCAGTCGCACACACTTTTAAGAGCAAATGAAATATTTCATCAATGAAATACATTGGCACACATCCACTTTTTTATTAACTTGTATTTATTTTGTTAGCATTTAGCTCCCTACTAACTAATTCCCTTGGCCGTATTGTGGAGACGGTGCCTTTTGGGAACCAGGAGGCAAGATGGAATCGGGAATGACAACTAAGGGGAGAGGCAGCATGGTATGGTGACGAGGAGCATGGCTCTAGTAGCATGCTACCTGGAGACAGATCTCCTCTGGCTGTTACTTGTGAACTTGGCTGAATGAATTAACATTCATGTGCCTCCCCTTAGTTTAACCATTCCTGCCTCCCTCACAGCTCCCACATCCAGTGTGTCTCCAGGCCCTGTCAGTTCCGCTGCCCTTTCAGCTCTCAGAGGCACCCCTCCTCTCCGTCTGCCAGGACCTAAGTATATCCACAGAGGCCCGTAGTTACCTCTCTGCCTCCAGCTGGTCCCTCGTCCATACTGCAACCAGAGTGCACTTTCTAGAACAGAAATAGCTGATGATGTCATATAGGCTTTCACATTTAATTCTGTATTTGTTAGCAAGCTCCAGTCTCCCTCTAGCCTTAAGTCCCACCCTCCCTGCTGTATTCACCAAGGCTCCACCCCTTAAAAATTCCCAGGGAGCTGTGTCAGTTTGTACCATGTCTTTGTTCAATCTGCTCCTTTTCCCTGAAATGCTGTCTTCAGTTTCTGCTTAGAAAATTCTGACACACGTTTTAAGATTCAGTCCAAGTACCTCCTCTCTGAAGCCTTCCCTGATGCTCTTGGGTGAACTTTCTTGCGATTTCCCAAACACCTCTATGAGACTTCATTCCACATGGTGGCCCATGTTTACATACCCGTCTCCTCAAGTCGATGCTGAACCTTGAGAGAATAGAAACTGTTTTTGATTTTAAAATTTTCCAATGGAGGTGTCATTACCTGTGTTTGGTAGGTTCAGAGAACTTGACCTTGTCCTTCAGACATGTGCATAAGTGTCTCTGCTATATGATTTCCCTGGTCATAACACTCAGTAGAATGCTGACTTTCCTATTGTCATTCTCACCTATGACATTCTCAGCACTGTGAATATGGAATCTATGCCCATTTTACTTGCTGTTATTTCATCCCATATCCAGGAGTAAATGAATAATAAATATTTATCTATTATAAAAAGGAAGAAAGGAAGGAAGGAAGGAAGGAAGAAAGGAAGGAAGGAAGGAAGGAAGGAAGGAAGGAAGGAAGGAAAAAAGGAAGGAAGGAAGGAAGGAAGGAAGGAAAAAAGGAAGGAAGGAAGGAAGGAAGGAAGGAAGGAAGGAAGGAAGGAAGGAAGGAAGAAGTGGTATCATCTGACTGTCCTCTGGCTTTCTCCTATAAGCCCACAGTTCATAGGGTAGCCTAGAAAGATGGAAGAGGATCTGCCCATTTGTTTTCTCTGGATAAAGAGACAACCACATAAAACCAGCTACTCCCAGGGGCCACAGCGGGACCTCCTGAGGATATCTGTGGTTATTTTTTCCTACTTCTGCCTCTCTCTGTCATTCCTGAGAGAGCCTTTCTTTTCCCATTCTTGCCATTTCCTTGACCTCTACAAAACGTGCCTTCAAAAGACATTTAGTAAATATTTACTTATTGATTCATTTAATCCTCAAGTACACAACTCTAGGGTAGCACAGTTCAATAGCAGCGCCTGACAAAGCTTTCTTTCTTGACTTACTGACTTGCTTCCAAGAGAATTGATATTGGGTCTAGAGCACACATGTGGAAATGCCACCTGCAATCGTTGCCCCTGTTTGTAAAATGACCTACCCAAGTCTATCTGGAGTGTCGTTTAGGACTATCCAGAATAACAGGGTATGGCATTGGGATAACACACCTAGTGATCCCATGAGGAAGGCGTTGTGAGAAGCAGACCGGAAATTCTCACTTCTTCTCTCAAGGATCCTTCCAGCTATAGTGTGTCTGCTGCCTGCTGCATATTTGAATTCCTGGTGTTTTATAATAAAGGTTTTGTCATTATTCAGGTATGGCAAGTCAACAGATCAAGGATGATTGCTGTTGAAAAGACAGTTTGCTATACTCACAGATTCCAAGGAGGTGGGGGTGGGAGGCACTGGGTTTACACTGTTTCCCCGAAAATAAGACAGTGTCTTATATTAATTTTTGCTCCTAAAGATGCGCTAGGTCTTATTTTCAGGGGATGTCTTATTTTTCCATGAAGAAGAATACGGTACACATTTATTATTAAATGAAAATAAAGGAAATGTATTACCTGTATATGGTACGGTAGTACGGTAGTTGTCAACACAAACAAGACAAACTGTGAATCCTACAGTATCAAGAATTTACTCATTTATTCAATGACAATCATGTCATCATCTTCTGGAACATCATCATAACAATCCAATTCTTGAATTTCCTGGTGAATTTCTTGTGACTCCATTTCTTTCAGAATCAGTGGACCAAATCTCTCATGTTTAGCCTAGGGGGGCCTTATTTTCAGGGGATGCCTTATATTTCACTCAGAAGGAAACCTGTAAGTAGGTCTTACTTTCGGAGGATGTCTTATTTTTGGGGAAACACAGTAGTCAGGAGAATGGAAGGTGAGAAGAGCTTTTGTTGTGGTTTCCACAGGAAGGAACAGTGAGGTGGTTAGCAGATTTAGAATGAACTAGACAGCAATTTCAGCAGGCCTGGAGCAACGGGACTGCCTCTAGTGTCAGGCACCTAGCCCTGGGTGGTTAGGGCAGGTGGACAGTCCCCCCTCCAGTTCTGGGTACTACGAAAGGTGTGCTCCCTGGTACATTGTTTGCTGTCTCTAGGAATTAGTTTACCCTCCGAGGGGCGGCCTCTTCAGGCCCAGATCAGCAAGGCCCCAGGTGTTAAAGCATCAGAAAACAAAAGCTTGGTTGATACCACTGGTTGGGGAGAAATACTATTAAAATGTTCTGATGCTTGAGCCCAGTCCTCTAGAGATGATGATGGAATGGGTCTGGGGTAGAGCCTGGGGACTGGTATTGTTTAAAGCTTGACTGGTGATTCTAATGTGCAGTGAGGATGGTGAGCCACAGCTAGCATGCATGTCACTCGGAGTTTCCTATGTGTGGCCAGTTTCACTAATTAAGGAACATGTCCTCTGTATAACAGACTAGATTTGCAGCAAATCATGGATGCATAAGAACTACTTAATCAAATTCATTTTTAAATAGTTGCTTTATCTCTTTTTTTTAAAATAATATTATGCAGTAATTACAAAGGTTAAAGACTCTTCCATCTCAAAAAAAAAAAAAAAACCTACTATAATTATACACATAGCATAGTACCTTATAAGATTGATTCCAAGAAATATCACGGTCCATTTTCTTTTTTCTTTAAATTGAACTTATTGGGGTGACACTGGTTAATGAAACTATACAGGTTTCTGGGGCACATTATACATCATCTGTATAATGTATCGAGTGTGTTCACCACTCAAGGTCAAGTCTCCTTTCATCACCATTTATGCCCTATTTCCCTTTTCTTCCTCTCCCCATCCCCGTTCCTCTCTGGCAATCACTAAAACAGTTCCGGTGCATTTTTCATCCTGGAGAGACCAATACTTTCCCATCCGCAGTGTTTGACGTAGGAAATCCTGTTCACATCACGATCTGCAAGGTCATGCTTTTGCTTTATCTTTCATTCCAGGCCTCCAGCCAGGGAGATCTTCCCTCCTCCTCCACCTGTTCCACGCAGAGGTCGTTGAGTCCACCTCCTGAAAGCTGCCGACTCCGGGACTTCGATAATGATGTCTTCATGTTGCGTTTCATGGCGTGACTGCTGACCTTGAGACCTGCTCTCATTACTGATATTGTTACGGCCCTGCTGGTTTGGGCTTTCCTTAAAGAAGATACCATTGAGGCACGGTGGAGGGAAAAACTGAGGGCTTTCACCACCATTGCCAAGTATATTGACCTATACCCTCCTTTGCCAAAAGGATGAAGACTTACTTAGTTGGGATACTTACCTCTAATTCGACGTGTTGGAAGCCTGAAAGATTGGTTAGGAATGTACATTACACGTGATTTTACTGAAATGCATTTATATTAGGCCTTACTTACTTGCTAGTTCAGACTAATTTCTACACATGGTTATGGTTTAGTACTTACAGTAGTCAAGTAAGAAGATGTATCCCGATTTTTAAACGATTCTCCAACTTTTCTGTTGAACAGGACAGCACTGTTCCTTCATCTCGTATTAAAACCTGTGAGCAGACACCCAGCTATGTCAATAGCAAAGTATGAAGACCGAGAAACAGTGAACAGGAGGCTGGTGTTGCAGTCAAATGCAGGAGAGTGTGTAAACGCCAGGGCTGGTCACAGATAACAATCTGAAAAGGTCTTTAGAGGGGGATCAGTCCCAGCTTTCCTGATCTAGAAGTCAAATCCAAGGTTCCCCAGGTGCCTGGATCTGAGAGTCTTCGGCTGTTTAGAGGAAGAGGCAGTTCAGAGTCTGGGCCTGAGAATTCCAGGTGACCACACTTTCCATCTCCAAATAGCCAAGCCTGCTCCCTCAGGCAGTGCTCAGATGTAGACATTCAGTCAGTGACTGACTCTTGTCCTCCGGAAGTTTCTTCCATGATTTCCCAGGCATGTATTTCCCCCAAAAAATTTGGGCATTAATACTTCAGTGTGCTTTCAAAAGAGTGATGCTGCTAAGGAACATCTCTTAGTGGTTGGAACCAGAAGCTTGGGGTGCCAGGACCCCATTTATTTGCTCTGCCGTCTTTATAGGTCTTAGTTCTGGCCATGAAGAGAGAAGAGGGTCCTTGGTATGTTCTCTGCTAAGGGGTAGAAAGGGAAGGAAGAGCCTCAAGTACAAATAGTTATTTTCTTATACACCCATTATTGCCACTGGGCTTTGGAAATCTGTGCAGAGAATATAGAGCCTAAAGTATGTCATTAATTTTGAGTTCCTGCCACATCAATCTCCCTTCAAAACACAGGTTCTTCATTTGATATTTATACATACAATAAAATTAGTATTGGACCTATTTATTTAAAAAAATGTCAGAAATCTTGTGGTTTTCCAGGAAATTATTCTTTGTCCCACACAGGTGTATAAAAGCCACACTATTAAAGATCATTTAGTACAGTTTTATTGAGTTCTTTTTTTAATAATTAAAAGTTCTTTTTCTATCTCATTCCTCAGTCCAGCGAACAAGGACCATTGAAGTTAATAGCTTCTGAGATCTTGGTTGTTGTTTTTTTTCTGACATAAAATATACTATTGGCCATGACCATCAAGAGAGTGTTTGTGCACCTGGCTGGATGACTCAGTTGAGAAATTGTTCGATATACCAAAAGGTTCAATTCTAGGTCAGGGAACATACATAGGTTGTGGGTTCGATCCCTGGTTGGGGCATGTAAGGGATGCAACAGATCAATGTTTCTCTTTCTTCCTCCTTCCTTCCTTCCTTCCTTCCTTCCTTCCTTCCTTCCTTCCTTCCTTCCTTCCTTCCTTCCTTTCTTTCTTTCTTTCTTTCTTTCTTTCTTTCTTTCTTTCTTTCTTTCTTTCTTTCTTTCTTTCTTTCTTTCTTTCTTTCTTTCTTTCTCTTTTCTTTCTTCCTTCCTTCCTTCCTTCCTTCTTTCCTTCCTTCCTTCCTTCCTTCCTTCCTTCCTTCCTTCCTTCCTTCCTTCCTTCCTTCCTTCTTTCCTTCCTGTTTCTTTCCTCCCTCTCTCTCTCTCTCTCTCTCTCTCTCTCTCTCTCTCTCTCTCTCTCTCTCTCTCTCTTTCTCTCTCTCTCCATATTCTTGGATGAGGATAAAAGAAAAAGAGTGTGTGCAAATAATCTGGCACATAGTAGCTACTCCTCAATATCCCCTTTACTCTCCTTGTTACTTGTTTGGGAAAAACAGGGTCATGTGAGATAAAAGGAGAACAAGACATTGTCATGTCCATATGGTTGTTATTTATAGACAGTCTCCGTATCTGTCACATTTGATTTTGATAAAAGCAACACTTTAAAAATATTCAATACCTCTAATCCCTGTTTTGGATGCCAGATTTATATTTTTGCACATTCTCTGATTGACCAGCATTTAGATCAATAACATGGTGAAACCTATTGCCAGTCAATAGTGTCAGCATCTTTATATGCACATCATTGTTTATGCAATACTGGAATATCTTACTGCATATGTGAAAATAAGTGGAAAACATAAAATTGAAAGTGCTATTGAGAAACCTGGGTTTCAGGAGTGTCAAGTCCAAAATGGCAAGTCTTAAACCCTCACTAGATGTTCATTGAACACCCAAAGTGATTGGTCATATGTAAAAGTAAAAGAAGAAAATGAAAAAAAAAAATGGTTGAAACACTGGTAACGTATATTATCAAAGAAACTTCTCTGATAATGAGGTAAAAAAAAATGTCATTTTTCTAGATAAAGAACCACCCATTATAACATAAATTTATTCAGCTTCCACTACCCAACTTTTGCCCACATTTTTAGGAATACATATGTAACAAAACCATCGGTTTCAATATGATGAGGATCACAAACTGGGTGTAACAAGGTGTCCAAAGAAACTCTAGAAAAGTTTCCTATATGATGCTTTCAAAGACAGCTCTGCTTTCGCCATCCTTCCCCAAGATTTTACAAGCTGGTGCAATAGGAAGTAAAGTAAGTAGTCATATTCATTGCCATTGCCTTTGCCTCTAACTGTACAAGATACATTGTCCTACAGTTTCTAGGCGAGCACTATTCCTTTATCTTACATTAAAACCGGAGAGCACATAACCCAACTATATAAGCAACAAAGTACGAAGACTTAGAAACTATGAACAGAAGGTTGGTTGTTGCAATCAGATAATTTAACTTGAAATATTTAATGATGTGAGTAATCCCCCAATGCTTTGTCATAATTAGGCGAAGTGAATACTATGCAAATGACCTCAAGGAGTATTTTTCCAAGTCAATCTAAATGCTCTACCCTTCTCTCCACGCCTTTATTTTGCTTTGTTATTAAAAAGGGAGAGGTCCTGGTCTGTCCTGTATCACCCCAATAGCCAGGATTTTCAGATTCCTCTCCCACAGGTCCCAGGAAGCAAGCTGGTTTCCTGTGCTCCTCTTTCAAAGAATAGTGTGTGGTTTTGCAGCTGGTTGGCTGAGGAAGCATTAGTAACAGATTTATTTCTAAGAAAGACAAGTGGCTCATTTGGATAACTCTAAAAGATTCATCCTAACAATTAATCCTCAGATTTGAGGAAGCTGCCTGTATAAACATTTACTTCAGTTTTATCAATAAATTGTGTCATGTTTATTTCCAAGTGTGTTATTAAGAAGACAACATAGCCTTCCTCTTTCATTCCTAATGGCCAGGAAGGAACACATTACTAATGTGTTCACCAGGGTGGTAGAAAGAAGAGTGGGAGGTTGAAAATATGTTCTGAATTCTCAGGCACAACTCAGAATTCGTTTTCTCACAGAAACTGTAATAAACAGTAAGTTCCCAGGCTAGCCCGCCAAAGCCCACTTAACCCATGAAATACCTGTGTTAGCTAGCTATGCATGCAGGTAGAGTTAGCATGATGTAGAGAGAGAACATTGGCTTGGAAGTCAGGAAACCTGGAGGTCACATAACTTGACCACCCTGGTCTGCTTCATCATCCATGAAGAGTTTTGAGTGATAACTCCAGGTCCTTTCAACTCTCTAAGTCCATGTCGAAGGCAAGGAGCAGGGGAATCCCTCATCCTGAAGAAGCAGGGTGGCACCTTATTGGAGTCACCACCTAATTGCCAAGGGATCTTATTAGGTGGCAGCTGCTGTTTCTTGTCCTCTACCATTGTTGTACCAGATCAGTTTGTGTGTGTGTGTGTGTGTGTGTGTTTTAAATGTGTGAGGAACAGTGAAATGGAAACTGAACAAAGAAATTAACAGCCATAGTTGCTCTTCAACCTAAAAACCCAATGTTTTTAAGTGATTTCTCCCTAAAGAAAAGAAATCAGGCCAATGTTAAAGTTTTTTAGTACCTGGAACATTTCAGCTAGAACAGAAAAGGTAGAGGTGAAAGGTGGTAACAGCATTAGAAGGACTGCTCATCCCAGAATAACTAGAAAGGTAAACAAAGTAGAAAGAAGGAATAGAATTTCCAAGAAAAGGTAGCTGAGGGTGGAAATCAGAGGACGTGTAGTCATCTGTAGACCGAGATTTTGGGTGATCGTTTATTAAGAGCGAGAATGAAGAATAGAAATTGTGACCCTGACTGGTGGTGTGGCTCAGTCAGTTGGTTGGGCATTGTCCTGGGCACCCAGGGGTTGCTGGTTTGATTCCCAGTCAACTGGGATGCATGCCCTGGTTGTAGGCGCAATTCCTAGTGGGAGGCAGCCAATGGATGTGTCGCTCTTACATCAATGTTTCTTTCCCTCCCCTCTCCCTTCTCTCTGTAAAAATCAATAAAAATCTTTAAAAAAAAAAAAGATTGAAATTGCAGTTTTTCTGGATCATTTACAGGCCATAGACTCTATAACCAATTGAATCTTATTAGAACCACCATAAGGAGAGGCTGTACAGCTGGAGGAGGAGAGTTCTATTCAATGGCATTTCCCGCCCCACCTCCTCCTTATTGGTATTAGGGGAATGAGGTCATTCATATAGATGAAGAAACCGGGAAAATAAGATGTGTCAATATTTTCCACTCCCCAGTGTGACATAACAGCCCTGAATCTGATGATTTTTCCTGAGTTCTGCTTCTGAGCCTGAGGTCATCAGATTCCAAGGATCTTTGAAGCCACACTCCTTTCCCTTTAATCAGTTATGTATCTATTCCTTCCCCCCCATATCTGCTATCAAACTTTTATCTCCTAAAGCCATTTATGTATTTTCTGGCAAAGTTCTGGCACATAGTGATGCTCAATAAATAGTTGTTTAATTAATGGCCCTACTTGCTCTTCCCACCATTATATTTTCCCAAATACTCCACCCAAACAGGGTTTCCTCTTCTCTCCTTACCCATCACTCCTTTGCCTGTGGAACATGTGCACAGTTGGTCACATTTTGTGTAGTTTTTTTTTTTTTTGTACACTGTTATGCCGTTCTCTGTTGTATATGTAATGTTCCCTGGTTTTAAGTCAGCACTCCCCATATGAATATACCTTTTCTTGTGTCCTCCCCATCCCCAAGCAATTGCCAATCCAGTGCTCCCCACACACAGCAAAAGCTTACAGACTCAAATATGTGGGGCTGGTGATGGCTGTTTAAGCAAGAAACTATTCATCCATCTTAATTCAGCACTTACAACACTTGTTCTTCAATTGCCCATCATTGCTTGATTCAAAAGCAGTGATTATTCATTCACAGAGCATTTACTGAACTTCCACCATGAGCGAGTCACCACGTGAGGTCTGCTCTAGGGAATAGACAGAGATGTATAAGACACTCCTCTGATTTCTATAGCAATTACTGGTATATGATTCACGTACTGCCTTGTATTATTAATCACGTACTGCCTTGTAATATCTCTTAGACTAGCTAGAAAGTGTTCTTTAAGTTATGCTATGCAATTTGACTTCCACTTACTAATGCCTTCACTCATTCAGTCTTGAAATAGTTACTGAATGTCTGTGATGTGACAAGCACTATTCCTGCAGTAGGGACGGATATAAAGAAAAAACAATTGGTAGTATTTGTCCTCAAAAAAGGTCAAGTTGTACTTGAGAAGAGGAAATGGGACTAGATGGTAAGTATCATTTAACATGCCAAATGTGATTGGGATCCGGAAGAAGAGAGGCTCAACTTCCTGATGCAAGGCTTCGCTGAAGAGGTGATAGTTCAGTCAGGCCTGGAAAGAGACGACTCAGCGGCTGTCCATTTACTTGCATCCCAGGCGGAAGGAACATCGAGCACCAAGACACAGAGACAGAAAAGAAGGTGGCGTATTTGGGGAATAAAGGGTGCAGACCAGTGGGATGTAAAGCTGAGGAGATAAGCCAGGATCTGATTGTGCAGCTGCAATGCTAACAGGACCGTCCTTTAGCAAAGATTTTTTTTTTCACATTACATTTGCTCATTGTAAAAAAAAAACACACACAAAAAAAACATCCGAATATTTATAGGCAGAGTTAAATATCTTTTTAAAAAATATATAAATATTTTATTGATTTTTTACAGAGAGGAAGGGAGAGGGATAGAGAGTCAGAAATATCGATGAGAGAGAATCATCGACCAGCTGCCTCCTACACCCCCTCCCCACTGGGGATATGTCCGCAACCAATGTATATACCCTTGACCGGAATCGAACCTGGGACCCTTCAGTCCACAGACAGACACTCTATCCACTGAGCCAAACTGGTTTCAGCAAGTAAAATATCTTAATGGTTGTGTCATAATCTTTCAGGTTGTTTTCTATGGGTAGACTAATAGGTTACCATTTAAAATGGAATTATGCTCTATGTTTTCAACTTCTTTCATTTAAAAGTGTCTCTCTGATATCATTCCATGCGAGGACACACGGGGCTATTTCCTTTTTTTAAATGGCGGCATGAATGGTAATCTATTAGTAGTAAGAAAGACAGGTTCTGGAACCAGACTGCTTGGGTTTGGCCTTTCAGCAAGCCACTTACCTCTCTGTGCTCCTTCAGGTAGGTATCTGTACAGTGAACCTACTAATAACACCTGTTGCATAAAGTTTTCTTTTTTGTGTGAGCATGAAATGAGTCAGTCCATAGAATGGGCTCAGAATAGTGCCTGGAAGATGAAAATCTTAGCTGGAATTCCATGAGTTATTTAAACATCATTCAAGGAATGTTTTAAGCCAGACAGCGGTATCATCAGGTTTCTTTTTTAGAAAGGTCACTCTGGCACCTGTTGGAGAGAATAAACAGGGAGGGAAGTCTGGTGGCAGGGATCCTGCTGGACACCGTTGGCTGTTCCTGGCAGAGGAAAGAGAGGAAAAACAAAAACTCTTTGAGACATTTCTAAGAGAAATAGTGCTGGAACTGTTGACTGCTGACGGCTGAGAGGTTACAGACAACCCGACTACAAGTTCCAGATTTTTGGCTTAGAGGAGGATGGGGTGTGGGGGTGCCATAGTCATGCTTATTTGACAGTTGTTTTTGGAGTTCCTACGCTGAGACTGGTACTGTTCCAGGCAGACGGGATGCCTGCTTAGGGGGAGGTGCTTAGATTCCAAGGGGGGGGGGCATTTATGTCAATGGACTGGAGACTCACAAATAATACATCAATGAACAAGAATGTCAACAAGACCCAATAGTAGGGGCCTCATAACTCATCGGTGGTTTTAAAACCCTCCTTCAACCCGGTATAGACGTAACAAGCTCCCATCACAATGATTTCCTGACCTTGTGATTCGCGCACAGCGGCGGTGCCTGCAAAGGTAAGGTGACCAGACGTCCTGATTTCTTTCTTTCTTTTTAAAAAAATATATTTTATTGATTTTTACAGAGAGGAAGAGAGAGGGATAGAGAGTTAGAAATATTGATGAGAGAGAATCACCGATCAGCTGCCTCCTGCACAGCCCCTACCGGGGATGTGCCCGCATCAACGTTGCATGCCCTTGACCGGAATCGAACCTGGGAACCTGGGACATTTCAGACCTCAGTCCGACGCTCTATCCATTGAGCCAAACCGGTTTCAGCAAGACGTTCCAACGTCTAACCATTGGTCTCGCGTACCTTTAAAAAAAAAAAAGTCAAGAAAAATCGAGACTTTTTTTTTTAAAGGGACGCGGGACTAATGGTTAGACATCGGGGACTGTCCCGCCAAAAGCGGGACGCCCGGCCACCTTATGCAAAGGGCTATTTGCTCCGATCGCCCCCGCTCCAGGGGCGGCCGGGGAGACCCCATCTCACGGCCTCGGAGAGGGAGGCGGGGAGGTGGTGGTTCCAGCCCAGGACGCACGACTCCGAAATCCGCCGCCGCCTGGACGCGGCCCGAGGCGGCTTCGGCCCCGAGAGGTTCGGGCCGGGCCGTCCCCGCGCCGGGCCTCCGGGACCCAGGGCGGGGCGGCCGGCCGGCGGCCGTTGCGCCCGCGTCGCACGGCACTTCCGGCGTGTGCCGGGGTGGCCGGATGACGTGGCTGAGTCAGAGGAAGAGGCCGCGGAGGCGCCGGGGGGCGGGGGAAGCTCCGGAGCGGGCGGTGTCGGCGGCGGCGCCGAGGAGCCAGCGGCGGAGTCCGGGCCCCCGCGCTGCGTCTGTCCGCGCCCGGTGGATGCGAATCGGCTGCGGCGGCGGCGGCGGCGGCGGAGGAGTCGGCGGGCGGGCGCCGGGCCGGTGGGAGCGCGGACGATGAGGCCGCTGCCGGGCGCTCCCGGCGTGGCGGCGGCCGCCGCGCTGTGGCTGCTGCTGCTGCTGCTGCCCCGGGCCCGGGCGGACGAGCACGAGCACACGGTGAGGGGCGCGCCCGGCGGCCGATGCGGCGGCCGCGCCCGGCCTGCTCCCCGCCTCGCTGCCCCGGCGGGCCCGGCGCGGCCTGGCAAAGCCCGGCGGCCCGGGGGAGCCCGCGGCGGCCGGCCGAGGCCGCCTTCCGGTTGGGCCTGGCGGAGCAGGAGCCCGGGAGCTGCTGGGAGGAGGAGGAGGAGGCCTTTCCTGGCGCTCCCGGGACCAGGGACTCTTTCTCCGCCTGGGCCTCTGGCTCCGACCCGGACCTTGATGGCGCCCCACCCCCGGGTCTGGGGCGCCGGAGGCCGGGGAAGGAGCGGGGTGAGGGTCCCGGGTCACTTGGCCGCGGGATGGGGGTCGCAGGCAGGCCCGGTCGGGGCGAGTGACCCCTGGGCTGGGAGCTGTGCTCTGGCCTCGGGGGCCCGCGACTCAGCGGACAGCGGAAGATGGATGCGATTACCCGGCATCCCCAACCAGGAAATACCCACCCCTGCGCGGTCCTCGCCGGCCCTCATTGTCCCTCCTGTCCACGCCGGACCGAGAGGCCGGCGGGGTGACAGCATCGATAAACTTGGGGTGAAGAGCAGTTTGCACGTGTGCATGCACTCAAGCCCACTCGCACTCACTTCCGAGCCTTTTCTTGTAACTTAACTCCTTACCCTCTCAGGCCCCTGGAGGAGGCTCCGGTCCCAGTGGTCTCTGATAGGGCAACCTCTGACTGGAAGGGGTCCTCAGTGTCCCCGTCTGGTCTGCCTGGAGCAATCCTTTCTGCATTTATCCTCAAGTTCCTTGGCTGTTCAGTTGTCATGGATCTTAATGATTATTCAAGTAACTGAGGTTTTTAGGATGGTAGAGCAAGGCAGGAAAGTAATAGGAAATTGACAGATTTCCTTGGCGAGTAATTGTGTTTTTTTTTATACTTTAATTCATTCGTGATATGATTTGCATGAAAGATAATGGATGTACTCAGTCGGAGAGATTTTGGCGGAGTCTTCTGTCATTCCTGATTAAGTAAGGAAATGAAGCAATCGTCAATGTAGCCTGCTTTAGATGATGTTCGTAATTGATCAGACTTCTTTTCTCCACGCCCTGGGTGAGCTAGGCTCTTGTTTTACCTCTAAACTTTCGGCCACTTTATCCTCAGTCACAGCCAGGAACTTCTTACCTGTGTGTGTGTGTTTTTTTTTAAGAGACAAGTCCCACATCGGTGACATGTTTTTTGTACTATATTTGTGACTTTTCACCTTGCCATAATTTTGTTCGGAGGTTAGTTACATTAAAAATTATTGACTGTCGTTCTGTAAGGTAACTTGTCTCAAAGTATAATAACCTCATTTCCAATGGCCATCCTTTTAGTTAATGATATGGTTTCTTATATTTTTCCAGTTTTTGAACACTTAACTAAAGAAAGTTACCATGTGAAACTCAGAATTCTCTCTTAACTGTAGTTCCACCATACAGGCATATAAGCCAAGAGTAGTAGGATGCTTTTTTAATCGTATGTTTTATAATGCATTGCTATAAATGGGAAAAACTACTCATTAAAATTTCAAAATTTGGAGATTTATAAAATGGTCTTAGATTAATTTACATATTTAAAATGCAAATACTAATTTTACTGAATTTTTTTGCCAGGAACATTTTAAATTTCTGAATCAGTAATTGTCATATACAGTATTTGATAAGAGGTTTTTGAGAGAATATGTTATGAGATAATTGCACAAAAATTTGGAATCCATGTCTACTTTGGATTGTTCTGATTCAGTTACCTATAAATAACTATTAAGAAAGCAAAAAAAAAAAAAAAAGTTACAGGAAGAATAGCATTGCTATGAAGATAAAACTTAAGTGTCATTCATATACTTTTTACTGTTAGCCAAATTATTTTACTACTTTAAAATTTTTTGAAAATATTTTTTAAAAAACTAGGCATTTACCTTTGCCAGATAATGGTACTGAAAAGGCTATGAATTTTTTTCATACCAGGAAGGTCAGAAGTAGCCTGTGAAGAAAGAATGATAAATTGCTAAGGGAAGGTTGTTGCTGAGTAGATGCTTATTAAGTATTTGTGGAATTGAATTATTAAAGAACAGTTTTCAAAAGTTTTTAAGTTTACCCTTTATTTAAAATTTTTTTTTTAAATTGATTTCAGAGAGGAAGGGAGAGGGAGAGAGAGAAACAATCATGATGAGAGAATCATTGATAGGCTGCCTCCTGCACGGCCCACACAGGGGATCTGGCCATGTGCCCTGGGAATTGAACCAGGACCTCCTGGTTCATAGGTTGACACTCAGCCACGGAGCCATGCTGGCTGGGCTAAGCTTATCTTTAGATTAACTTTCTGTGAAGACAGTTTCTAGTTAGAAATAATAACTAAAAGGATTTTTCTAACAATATGTGCTAGTCTTTGTTCTAAGTACTTTACATATATGAACTCATTGTAAACATTAATAACCTTGTGAAATGAAATATATTATGCTCTTTTAATAGATGAGGAAACCAGTGCCAGAGAGGTTAAGTTACTTGCTCAAGGCCACACAGCCAGTAGGGATAGAGGATTTGAATTAAGGCAATTTGAATTAATAGTTTTCTATATTTATAGGATATGCTTCTATAGCCCTTTAAGCTAAAAATAGGGCAGTAAAATACTTGTCATTAAATTGAATAGTTCCCTATATTGATAGTATTTTTAAATACAGAAATATTTGGATAATTCTAGTTACATAATGGGTTGTTGCTGAGGAAATGTTTGGGTTGTTAAAGAGGTTTAGGACTGACTTATGGGCATGTGACCTGGGCAGTCACATTATATGTGCAGACACATAAGGACTGCCTGGTTTAATGCTCTGCAGTCACCACCTTGAAATTCTTAATTTTTGAGCAGGGAGTTCTGCATTTTTATTTTGTTGACTTCTAGAGTATACCTACATCTAGAATTTATAAAGATGTGTTCCCTTCAGTTTTTAAAAGTTGAATCACATGAATTACCGGACATTGTTAGGGAAAAAAAATTAAAGATAGGCTCTTAATACATGACTGAAGGATCAAAAAAAAAAAAAGGACTCTTTAGAATGAGTGAAAGATACATAGCATGTGACTTATGCTTTTTTGGCTTTCTGAAACTCAGGGCATTTGGAAGTATCTACAGTTAGATTACCATGTCTCCTAAGATTCCAGAAGATGCCATTTAAAAGTTTTCAAACTGGCAGTCATAGAATTTTAGAACTGAAAGACTTGAGGCCATTGTATCCAACACACTATTTTTTTCCTGAAGGCTTAAAGAGACCTAGTGACTGGCCCAAAGCCACAGAAAGAATCTGAGCTTCCTGGATTTCTCTGGTCCTTGCTTTATCTACCCGTCTTGTCCATACAATTTCCATATTGATACTATGCAATGATGTAAGCACCAAAAAAACAAAACAAAACAAAACAAAAAACCCACAAAAAAAAACCCCAAAACACAATAATCAAGGGCACAAGAATTTTAATACATTTTATAATTTGTACTGTAGCCTTGAATTTTTATGGGTTCTGTTTTCTTAAGACCATAAAGTCAATTTTTAAAATTTTTGTCAGCTACATATTGAGCTACATATTGAGCCATGCTTGGCACAAGAAATAGTATTTAATTAGGCCTTGTTGAGTGACCTGAGTAATTAGGGAGCTGCTAGGGACAAGAACATGCAATGTTGGAAGCATGAAACCCTGTTGCTCAAAGCCCAGTGAACAAACCCAGACCATTCACTTAAGACTCTAGTCTCAAGGATGTCTGTTGTGCTTTAGGGGCCTTACCTAGGCTTAAGTCTCACTTCTTTGTGGCTCACTGCACTTCTGTAGGTAAGGTTGGGATCTGTGTCTAGGATAGCTTATTCTTGCTTCTGCTGTAAACACTAGACCGTTCAGTGTTTTCAGAAATGATTTTGTTTGCTTTACTTTGGCAAATGGCAGCCTTTTGTTTTTGTCACTGTTGGGGGCATAGGAACTCCTAAAACATATGTGAAGATTTATAAAGAGAAGAAACTGTTACAAGTGAATTTGTGAATGCTCAAATATCGATCTAATTTTAGGAAATGCTATAATTCATTGTCCTATTTTCAGCTGTACTCTATGATAGACTAAAAGTTTATTTGGGTACAAAGCTATTAGAGAGGCGAGGGGGAGGGGAAGAGAGAGGTTATCTCAAGAGACTTTCTAAAAATACCCCTTCTGATTTACTTGTATTTGAATTCTGATGTATCTGTTTTACATAAATAATGAAAAGGTATTGAACTTAGGATTTGTGAAACACTTTCTGAACTGGATTTTGCTTCCTCAGATCTTTAAAAAGCACTCATCCCATGAAAATGATGGCATTTAGGTGCTTATTCTGAACCCTCAGTTCTTTGCCTGTCTATATAAATTCTGATTGCTTTATTCAGATTTTTATGTAAGTACATCAGAAACATTATTTCCTTAAAGTGTTCTTTCTGAGAAAAATTAATTCATGATCTCTATCAAATAGGGAAACTTTCTTTCCCGACACATAAACAGTATTTAAATAAGAGAGGCCCAGGATTGGTGACTTAAGATTAGAGCACAATCTCAAGGTAGTTTCTTAGGAAGGTTTTTTTTTTTTCTTTTTCCTTTAGGGCAAATTAAAGGCTCATATGGAAAAGTTGTTTACTATTCATTACTGTCTTTAGTTACTTTGTACAACTTTGCTTTTTTCCTATTTTCTTCATTTAGTTTTGCCCTTTAGTTAATGAGACTGACTAGGGATTAGTAAAAGTGTAGTCCTAATGTTGTAAACTTGGGTACTAGTTATATGATCTTGGACAAATTAATATCCATGTTCTTTGGTTTGTTTTCATCTGTAAAATGGGGGAAATAAGAGGACCTATCTTAAACTTTTGAGAGGATTAAATGTTTATGTAAAAACCTTAGAGCTATGCCAAGCACACAGTATGTGCTTATTAAATGTTAGCTACTATTAGAAAAGATGGTGAGATATTGCAAGTTAGGGATTGGTCTGTTAAGGCCTTACTCGAGGATTTGAGAAAGATTTGAGCAGTTCTGAAGGGTAAGTATAAATTGGGTAGGTGGAGAGGAGGATTGGGTGGAATGACATAAGGAAAAGGTGGAGCAGGAAAGAAAGGGAAGACAGTATCAGAGATCATTTGGCTGGAGTGGACAACTCAGAGTTGAATGTGTAACAGTGAAAGTCTTCTGAGAGCTGGACAATGAATAGAATGGTGAGGTGGAGAATGCAGGTAGTCTGAGCTGGCCTGTCATGACTCCTGCTGAGGGAGGCCTCATAGAAGGATTACAGCCATAATTAGGATCTCCTGATCCACTGCTGTGCTTCCTTGACTTTTTCTCTCCCAGTCTCCTGGTTACTCTCCATAGGAGGAAGAAGAGCCTTCCTTACCTGTAGCTTTCTTCCCCTGGAATTGGGGAACTCAAGGACTTTCTCAGCAGTTTTTTCTCTTTCAAAAGTTCTGTGAAGTCTTCCTTTTGGTATTTTCTAATTTCAAGGTTTTTAAAACACATTTTATCTCTTGAAAAATAACTCTTGTTTTTATCTTGTCTTGAGATTGCTTATTCTTAGGGACCATCAAGAACTGCAATGAAAAGTAAATATTTTAAGTTCATATCTGATCATGGTCTGCATAAGGAGCAACGTAGAGAAGAAACATTTTTGCTTTAATATTCACCCTAACCTTTGTATAGTTATCTGTGAGTACATGTGTGTATATAAAAGTATTAATATATATATACGTGACTGAATATATTACATATACATTTACATATACATATACATATTCAATCTATATATATTAAAGCCTAAGCAACTGTCCAACCGGTAGGTTTGACATGCAATGACCACCAGGGGGCAGACGGTCTGACCAGTAGCTGTGCTGCACTGACCAGCAGGGGACAGACGCTCAGTGCAGGAGCTGCTGCGGTGACTTGGCAGCTGTGGTTCTTGGGTGAAGCACCTGGAACCAAGAAGAGGGACCCTGATTCTGGGATGTGTCACCCAAGAACCACCCTCTTGCAATTCGGGACCACTTGGGATGTTGGGGAGCCTGTTTCAGTGTAGTCTCTGCAGGCCAGGCCAAGGGATCTCATTGGTGCACGAATCTGTGCACCAGGCCTCTAGTATTTATATTTTTTAAATTATTATTTTCAGTCATCTTCTCAGAAGGAATTTTAGACTACAAAATGGTATATGTTTTCTTACAGTTTGCATCATGTCATTACAACTCTATTCTCTTAATGGATTTCATGAATGTTTAAAATGAATGATTTCAGAACATGTAGTTTAACACACATTGTGATCCTTAAATTATTTTAGTTCTGTGTTTCAGTTTGTATAAAATAAACACCCTATTTTAGCAATACTTACTGTTCAAATTTTTGTCTTTTTAAAGGAATATGGATATTAGGATTTATAGGGAAAGTGTTTTTGTGCTTGTTTTTCTGAGTTACATTTAAATATTTTTGCAGACTTTCAGCAGGATTAATGGCAAGGTCCTCATTAATAGGTCCTCGCATTGAGCATCCTAAATGGATGCATTTTGTTACCTCCCCTCTCTTATTTCTCTAAAAGGGTATTTTTTGCAGTTAGTGCACATACTTTAGACTTCTTTTACTCAGCTGCTAAGGAACTTTTACATTTCAGCATTTTTTTCCAGTGTTTTTTTCATCATATTTATTAAATACTTTTTGTATATATTATGTTGTGGAGAGAGCTTCCTGCCTACTGAACAGTTTTCCATTCTAATACCAACTCAGTCAGTTGATAGTGCTTGATTTAGAGCAAACTCATTAGTCAACAGAGCCAATTACCAACAGCACAACAATTGAAATTTCTTTTGAGAGCCAAATTTTTTAAATTGAAACTTCTAACGCCACTTCTTCAAAATAGACTCTCCCAGGCCGTGGTATTTTGTGGAAGAGCCACACAAGGGGCCAAAGAGCCACATGTGGCTCACGAGCCACAGTTTGCCTACCACGGGTTTAGAGCATTGGTTTGAGAATTCTTTTACTGTATCCATATTGTTTAGCAGAAAGGATTATTACCTTGATTGTTCAGTGCTGTGTGACCATAAGCATTGGATGGAACTGAATGGCATTGTATGGATTCATTCCTTCATAATGAAGATTAGCAGCTGTTTTTTTGAATTCACTTGAAATAGTTTATGATTTTTTTGTACCAGTGGTTGCCAATCTTTCGTACCTCATGGACTACCGATTGGCTACCGCTGTTCTATACTGCTGTTTATGCTGACCCTTCTCTGTCAAAGCAGAATTAACCATTCCTTTATTGTTGCTATAATAGCCCATTATTACCTTAATTGTAACATATCTTCATTGTTAATCATTTATTTGTCTGCCTTTTCTATGGATTGTAAACTTGCATAAAGGAAAGGACAGTATTTTGCTTATCTGTACATCCTTAACACCTAACACTGCTTAGTACATGTGTTATGTAGCCCAAAAGTGAGATAGTTCATTATTTCCTTGTTGACCCGGATGACATGTTATATGAACAATGAGACCTTTATTATGTTTGAAGATAGGTGATTAGGCCTCGTTTCTAGGATGGTGGTGCATTGAATCAATAGGAAAGTCAGATGCTTTAGATAAGAATCCTCAAATCATTATTTTTTGAAATGCAGAGGAACTTAGTGTTTGAACTCCATGTCTGAGAGAATGGTGGTGCCATTAGGAAAACAAAGTTGGAGAGGGGGTGGATTTGGATGGGATGAGTTTGGTTTTAAAGATGTTGGGTTTTGATTACAAATATTTATTAGTTTTAGATGGAAAATTGGAGCTAGGGATTGGATAGTTGGGCTAGTTAGAGAGCTTCCTGTGTTACGTGCTTCTTCATAGCACCCTACTTGATTCCCTTTAGGCTCTAAACTCCATTAGGGCTGGGAACATGTCTTGTTCAATGCTGTATCCTCACTTATAAACACGGTTACTGTTTGGCACATGGTAGGCACATAGTATATAATTATTCAGTGATTTAACTTCCGTACTATTAGTTGACTTAATTTGTATACTATGTTGACTTTATATTGCTAATTAGGGCTACTAGTTTTTAAATTACTTGGATAATTGCTTTTATAGAATCATTGGACATTTAGACTTGAGAAGTTAGAAATCTTTGGCAAATCCCTCAATTGGACCCTGGAAAAGTGAAGTCATCTACCCAAAGTTATTTGGACCACACTCCAGTGTGGTATTCACTGATGGGTACAACTGTAATTACTTATTCAAAGAAATATAAATATGATACATGTCTTTCAGACTAATAAAGGGAAAGGTAGAAAGATGTTTGAGTAGATGGCGATTTCATAGGTTTTCTTTTGTATAATCATTTCTCTCCTCTAGTTCTTTGACCAATGGCATGGAAAAGATTAGAAAGGAGATGAAATTTTATTTGTGCTTGCTGGCAACAGATTTTTGGAGTTTCTAATGATTAACATGAGGTTATTGATTTTGTCTCCTCCTTCTTGGTTTGCCATTATTTGATAGTATAATTATAAATATTCATATGAGTTATTGGGCTCTGTTTAAACAAAATCATCTGTAAAACAAAATTTAGGAAAAATGGATCTGCCTGAGACCACAATCAAAGAATATAATTTTCAAAGTCAGTAAATTTTCATTTTTAAGGTGTGGACATTAATCATCAGATTAAAATAAACTTCCAGTATTTTATTTTGTAGCTTCCCAAACTGAGACAGTATACTTTTGTTTAGAACAAACACCAAATAGTCCCTTAATTTTATGTACACATACACACACTATTTTTTGGGGGGGTTTTATTAGTCCTCACTCAAGGATATTTTTCCATTGATTCTTAGAGTGAAGGGGAGGGGAAGAGATGGAGAAAGAGAAACATCTATGTGAGAGAAACATATCAATTGGTTGCCTTCTGCATGTGCCCCAACTGGGCCGGTGATTGAGCCTACAACCAAGATATATGCCCTTGACGGGAGTCAAACCTGGGACCCTTCAGTCTGAGGGCCAACAATGCTCTATCCACTGAGCCAGACTGGCTAGGGATAAATGTATTTTTAAAATAATTTGTTTTGCTTTTTTTAATTTCAGTATCAAGATAAAGAGGAAGTTGTTTTATGGATGAATACTGTTGGGCCCTACCATAATCGACAAGAGACTTATAAATACTTTTCACTTCCATTTTGTGTGGGGTCAAAAAGAAGTATCAGTCATTACCATGAAACTCTGGGAGAAGCACTTCAAGGCGTTGAATTGGAATTTAGTGGTCTGGATATTAAATTCAAAGGTAAGTAAACCTTAATAGTCCTTCTAATATAAGTTATATTATAGACCAGGGTTTCTTAGCTTTGGAACTATTGACCTTTCGGCTGGATACTTGTATATGGGGGTGGGGCTGACCTGTACATTGTAGAAGTATCTCTTGCTTCTTCTTCTTTTTTTTTTTTTTTTAAATATATTTTATTGATTTTGTACAGAGAAGAAGGGAGAGAGATAGAAAGTTAGAAACATCGATGAGAGAGAGTCATCGATCAGCTGCCTCTTGCACACCCCCTACTGGGGATATGCCCGCAACCAAGGTACATACCTTTGACTGGAATCGAACCCGGGACCTTTCAGTCCCCAAACCGACGCTGTATCCATTGAGCCAAACCGGTTTCGGCTCTCTTGCTTCTTTACCCACTAGATGCCAGTAGCACTATCCAGTTGTGACCACCAAAAAGTCTTCAGATGTTGCTAATAGCTCTTAGTTAAGTACCACTGTTCTAGACTCTAAGAAATGTTTTAACCTATAGCTTAAGTGTATTGCATTTAGGAACAAAGATTAATTTATTTACTTGTAAATATATTGTTGGAAATTGATGTCTCCTTTCCCCTCATCAATTCCCCATCTATAGCAAAGATTTATTTTGAATGTTATAAAGTAAAATAAAACATTATTAATAAAATTATATTTTCTTAGCATATTTCTTAAAAGTGTTTTCTAGTAAACCCTCTAGTGACTAATTAGACATACGTGGTTGGGGAATACCTTTATAGATTCATAATGGAGTAATTTCTGAGGTGCGGGAATGTAATGGGGTGTATGGATACTTAAATATTTTGTGTAAATCCTAAATTTCAAACTAATACCATTGGCTTAGAATGTATTTAAAAGTGCTGTATTAATTTATACTCTCAATACTTATAGGATAGTGCGATTTTAAATTTGAAGTAAAAAACATGTTAAAATTAGAAAAGATCCTCATTTATATTTCAAGTATCTATTGTATCAGGTCTTTTCAGTGTGTTTATACTTTTATTTTCCTCTGTGAAGTTTATCAGAGAGATATTTTCCGATAGACATTTGTAATTTAGTAAGCAGAAGCTTGGAAAGTTGAATATTTGCAGGATCTTTGATTAGGTGTCTTGATTTTTGAATAGAGCATGGATCTTGTAATCAGTATCTTTTAATTTTAATCCTATTTCTTTTATTGTATTGGTTTCAGTAACATTGTTTACTCCAATTTGACTTCATTGCCTACATGTGTAAAATGAACAGTAACTGACTCGTTATTTTTAGCACTTTTGGGAGGAGGATGTGAATTGAGATTTTAAAGATAATATTTATTTTTGATTTGTTGAGTTTTATTTTTTGTTTTTAGAATATTTTTTTGTTGTTGAAAATAGGTATACATATTTGCATCCTTTTCCTTCATTATATTCCTTGGGGCTTAATTATAAAATTAAGTTATAAATTTAAACCTCAGCCACCTAACCTATAGCTGTATGGATTATGGTGAACTTGCCCTGAGGCTTGTGTAAGGAGAAAACAGACTAGAATGTGTGATCTTCGAGAAACTCAGTACCATTTATTTACATACTTTCTCCATTTGGTGCACATTTCAAATGTATTAAAAAGGAATCAGAGAGAAGAAATAGGCAAAAACCCTAAATCCTACTTTGTTACAATGGACAGATTTCATCACTTTTTGAAATCCTTACCCTTATTTACTGAAGAAGAGACCCATTCAGCTGTCTTAGCCTTTCTTCTTCCTTTGGGTAGAGGGGGTCAGTTTTCATGGGGTTTATTTTCCCTTCAGAGTAAGTACTTTTAGATGAAAAGAATAAGAACTGGCCTGGTGTTATTCCCTGTGAGTTGGGGGTTCCTTGGAGTCTGGTCAGCATTGCACCTCCAGTTGGATTTTTTTCTTCTGTTATTTTTTTCTGTAACTATTTTGCAAACCAATGTGTTAATTTGCAATTTTTACTTTATGCAGATGATGTGATGCCAGCCACTTACTGTGAAATTGACTTAGATAAAGAAAAGAGAGATGCATTTGTGTATGCTATCAAAAATCACTACTGGTACCAAATGTACATAGATGACTTACCAATATGGGGTGAGTATTATATGTTACATGTAAAGTTTGGGAACATTTGCATAATAAACAAGATTTACATAATGACTCTGTTAAGATGATTATATACAAATCAGTAAATGTGTTTTCACTATTTTCCATAGAATAATTTTAATAGCAATTTTATGATCCCCTGTTACTTGAAAGGTTTTTGACATTGCCAAACCTTAAGTGAAACTCCCTCATCATATAATTTTTATACAGTATAACTTTTCATATTCAAGGGATTAAAAATTGCTTTGAACAATCCAAAATATTTTCCCTCCCCCCATTTTTCTCATATCTTATTTTGACTTGCACTGTCAAGTGCAATCAAAGGAACTAAATAGGACTTTGAAATCTTATTTTGATTTTGTCTCATGTGGAACTATGGTAGTACAGATTTTAGATATGATAGGTTCCTGAATGACTTGTTTTGCTAGTTCCTGTGTTACTTTACAAAACTCTATAAGTTTAAAATGTTTTTTGTTTTAGCTTTTTTATATTTAATTTTTTTGTTTACTTTGTTTATCCCTATTAATGGATATAATCCAAACATAATCCAAACATTGTTTGTGTTAGACTTGTTAAGTTATTTAAACTGCAAAGCATAGCCAGCTATCATAGCTAGCATGTTTGGTTACATTTTTATTTTTTATTTATTTATTTATTTATTTATTTATTTATTTATTTTTTTGTTAGTGGTTTTTCTGTTAGACTTTTTTGGGTGATAATGGTGGTAGAATTGGGACACCTGTTCTTATGTAAAATTAATACTCTGCTTTTTAAAATTGTTAGCAGACTATTATCTTCATGAGCAGCAAACCCAGCCCTGCCTCATTGGCCACCTTATAATTAATTTCCTTGCCATGTGCACGAATCCATGCACTGGGGCACTGGTTGAAGTATAATTGACTTATGATATTCATTTCAGGTGTATAACATAGCAATTCACTATTTATATACATTATTCAGTGATCTCCATGATAGATAGGTCTAGTTATCTTTTGTCACCATATAGAGTTATTACAATACTAGTTATTACAATACTACATGAATTCGTGCCCCGGTGCGGTCCAGCTGGCCTTCCCTGATCAGGGCCAATTGGGGCCAGGCCAGCAGGTGGGTGGGGGCGTGTAGGAGGTTGGACAGCTGGCCCTGACCCTGACAGGGCTGGTTGTCTGGCTGCAGTGCGTGTCATAGTGACCAGTTGTTCCGTTCTCTTGGCTTTGTATATATTGATTATTAACTATATTTTCTATGCTGTTTGTTTCTTTCCCGTGACTTATTTGTTTTATAACTAAAGTTTATACCCTTTAATCCTTTCATCTATTTTGCCTATGTTCCCATCTCCTGTCCCTCTGGCAACCACCAGTTTGTTCTATGTATCTGAGTCTGTTTTTGTTTTATTTGTTCATTTGTCTTGTTTTTTAGATTACATATAAATGAAGTCATATAGTATTTGTTTTTCTCTGACTTACTTCATTTAGCATAATACACTCTAAGTCCATTTATGTTGTTGCAAATAGTAAGATTTCATTCTTTTATGTGGCTGAGTAGTATTCCATTGTATATTTGTACCATATCTTTATCCATTTATCTATCATTGGATACTTAGGGTGTTTACATATTTTGGCTATTGTAAATGATGCTATAATGAACATAGGGGTGCTGAATTGGTGATGCTGAATTAGTGTTTTTGTTTTCTTTAAATAAATACCCCAAAGTAGAATTGCTGGGTTGTATGTAGTTCTATTTTTATTAATTTTTGAGGAACAGCATGAACTTCCTAGTGGTTGCATTAGTTTATATTCCCTCCAACAGTGGCTGAGGGTTCCTTTTACTTTACATCCTAACCAACACTTATTTTATGCCATTTTGATAATAGCCAGTCTGATAGGTGTGAGGTAGTAATATATCATGGTTTTGATTTGCATTTCCCAGCTGATTAGTGATGTTGAGCATCTTTTCATGTGCTGTTGATCATCTGTATGTCTTTTTTAGAAAAATGTCTGTTTAGGTCTTCTGCTCTTTAGAAAAATTTTAAATTTATTTATTGAAGTGATTGGTGTGACATTGGTCAACATGAACATACAGGTTTCAGGTGTGGGTTTCTATGTCACAAGATCTGTATACTGCACCTCGTGCCCACTACCCAGAGTCAAATCTTTTCCTGTCACCTTATAGTTTGCCCATTTTTAAGTTGGATTGTTTTTTTGATATCTGGTTGTATGAGTTCTTTATATACTTTGGATATTGAACCCTTTATTGGATAAACCATTTGCATATATTTTCTCCCCTTTTCATTTTGTTGATGGTTTCCTTTGCTGTGCAAAAGCTTTTTAATTTGGTGCAGTCCTATTTGTTTATTTTTTCTTTTGTTGCCCTTGCCTGAGGAGACATATTCAAAAAAATATTGCTAAGACTGATGCCAAAAAAACTTTGCTGTCTGTGTTTTCTTCTAGGATTTTTATGATTCCAGGTCTAATGTAGTCCAGCACTTGAGCTATAAAAAAAGGAGGCATTTTAAGTTCTGGTACTCATATACACATATGTGCAGCTTATTTGGAATGGGTAAATCATAAGTTATTAGAGAAAGTACTGGATTGGGCCTGTGGAGACCTTAGTTTTAATTTTATTTTGACTAAATTTTCAACTCTTGGGGGTATACACAGATAAGGTGATAATTATCATAATGAGGGTGATACTAATGATAAAGCATGAACTTAAGGAATCAAATTAGTGCTAGGTTATACTGATTTTTATAGGTAGATAAAACTTTTTTTTTTTTAACCATGTTGTGATCATGGTTTGTGTTAGCCAAGTAGTTAACAAAGAGTGGAAGTTGAGCCTGAACTTTTGCCTTATTCTAGCGATGAGGAATAATGGTAATATTGCTTTTTCATAAAAACATTTTATGATATTTTGATTCTAGCATATTTTAAACATTAAGTGAAATTACCTTGTGTAACGTGTTATTTCTTTTGTAGGTATTGTTGGTGAAGCAGATGAAAATGGAGAAGATTACTATCTTTGGACCTACAAAAAACTTGAAATAGGGTTTAATGGAAACCGAATTGTTGATGTTAATCTAACTAGTGAAGGAAAAGTGAAACTGGTTCCCAATACTAAAATCCAGATGTCATATTCAGTAAGTATTTAAATAATTTGATATAGGGAGAAGGATTTGTGATCTAATATAAGAAATTAAGTGCATTTTTCAACTTTAGTAAATGAAAATATAGCTTGAAATTGGATGACAAATATTATTAAAACTAATTCCTCAATGTATATAAGAAAGCCTCTTAAAAGCTAGGAGATTTGCTTTAGGTCTGTAGGAGTAGATACCAATTATGCATTTGCTATAGCAAAGTTTACTGTTGTTACTGGGCAGCTAATTAACCTAGTCATGTATTTTTATGGTTACAATAGAGATCGCAGTGTTCCTTGTTTTCTTTCCCTTTTACTGTTTCAGATAGAGATGATGTTGTATTGAAAGTACTGGATGTGTATAGTTTACCATTTTTTGCTCTATCAATTGGAATAAAATGTTCCTGCAGAGTAAGAGCTTGTCAGAGTCCTTTGTGTCTGTCAAGTTTATTCTCTTCCATTACAATTAAAAATAGTGGGAAGAAGAGAAATCTGATGTAGGTAGCTTCTCTCTTTGCCTGTTTTTTTTATTTTTTTTTTCTTGTAATTGGAATGAGTCAATTGATAGTAGCCAATTTTGAAAATTTTTCAAGTTTTGTATGTATGTACCTAGTGCAAATCATATTTGCACAACTGAAGTAAAGAAAAAATATGATAATTATAATAACTATTGCAATATAAAGGTAAAAACAATACAGATTCTTATTTTAATTGGTCTAATTGAGTTCTTATCACATAGAGTCAGAATATATGTCAGCAATAATTAATAATTCTTGAAAACTGAAATGATTCTTCTAAGTAAAGTTTTAAGTTTTATTATTACAGAGGAAAGTTGGTTAGTTTATCATATATCTTTCAACTTCTGAAATTGGTAGTAATTTTCTACCATTTCTGTAATTTCTTATTCTAAGTGTGTAAATCTTTTCAAATTTTGCTCATAGTTTGTTATCAGATTATTTGTCTAATGGCCTTGATTTTCAAATGAAAACTTTTTTTCAGGTAAAATGGAAAAAGTCAGAAGTAAAATTTGAAGATAGATTTGACAAATATCTTGATCCATCTTTTTTTCAACACAGGGTAGGTAAATTGTGTATTTTAATATATCCAATCAGTTTAACAAACATTAATGAGCATTTGCCCTATATAGGGCACTGTGCTAGGGCTGTGGATTTCAAAGATAATAACTAATAAGCTCAGTGTGGAAAGGATGATAGGAGGAGGTTTGGAGGGGAAAATCAGAGTATAAGTTTAGGACATGTTTATTTTGCAGTGTCTGTAAGACATCCAAATAGAGATACCGACTAGCTAGTTGGATATATCAATCTGGAGTTCAGTCAGGAGAGAGGTCTGGATAGAGATATAAATTTTGTAGCCATTGGCATGCACATCTTACCTAATGAAAGAGAAACATGCAAATTAACCATCACTCCACTATGTCCACAGCCAGTTAAAGTGAATATGCAAATTATCCCAACAAAGATGGAGATTAATTTGCATATGCAGGTGGGGAGTGGCCTAGAGGGGTGGGACACCTGCTATCAGGGGAAGTGGGGCGGCGGAGGGAGCTATAAGAGTGGTGCTTTGGACAGAACTGAGGACTTGCCAGCTCCCAGGCAGTTGGGGATGGACTTGCGACGGACTTGCCGGCTCCTGGGCAGCTGGGAGTGAAGCCAGGGGACAGAAGGCCTATTGTACGAATATTGTGTAATAGGCCTCTAGTAGTATATAAAGCTATGAGACTGGATGCAATTACCAGGGAAGAGTATGTGGAAATAGAAGAGGACTAAGGACTGTAATAAAAGTTGGGGGAGAATAGGGGAAAGAGAGACACCAGTAAAGTCGAGGGGACCAGATTGTATGGTATTCCTGGAAATCAAGAGAAGAAAGTGTATAATGAAGGATAGAGAGATTAGTTTTGAATTGTTGCTGATGGGTCAAGTGAGAAGGGTTCTGAAAATGACTGTGGGATTTACCCAGAGTCACTGGTGAGCTTGACGAAGTGATTTTGGTGTAGTGGTGGGGCAGAATCAGAACAGAGCCATTGAGAATGAAAGGAGCAGATTTGAAGACAGCAAGTTTGGAGGGAAAATCAGAGTACAGTTTAGACTGGTAAAGGAGCAAAGAAACGGTACAGTAGCTGGTAGAAAAGATGGGGTCAGGAGATTTTCCTTTTCTGAGATGTAAGAAAAACGTGTTGAATAGGGTTCAGTAGAGTGTGGAAAATGGATAGTGCAGGAGAACGGGAGAATTAACTACAGATTTTCCTTAAGTTGGCAGGATGGGATCTATCACATAAGTGCAAGGATTGTTTCTAAGACAGTGACTACAAGTGTAGGCTTAGGTGCTAGAGCTGATACAGTCTGTCTGCCACCAACCATAACCTTGGTCAGCAAGGATTAGGATTATAATACCTTGCATAATTGCTGTGAATTCCATTTGATAGTGTATTATAAAGCACCTCGTTCAATCTTTGACACATGGCAGGAGCTCAGTAGGCAGCACCGGTGCTGTGTTAGCTATTCTTCTCTAGTGTTCAAAAATTCATGACTTACCTGACCTAAAAATTCATAGCCTTTAAGATTAGCAACACTAGAGGGTGCTGGAGTCAACAGTTTGTGGAGTTAGTCACTCCTTTGTGACATCTGATTTCTTTATTAATTTAAGAAATATGTTCCTTATAATAATTTAAAAATCACAGTACGTTAGCGTTTTTTGAATTAGTGGGAATTATATAGTATCAGGTTATTAGTGGTACATTATAATAGATATTGGTTTGAAGTTCAAATATTTAATTAGAAAATACAGAGTTTATTGCCCCAAATTAAAATCTATCCTAATTATATAAGACAGTGCATTCTTCATGTTAAAAATTCTATGTGTATACTTTTAGAAGTTTAGAGGAGTATGTCTGAATAACTAGACTATGTCAATGAAAGATTGTGTGGAAGAAACAGTTGTTGAGTTGGGCTTTAAACAGTAGTAAAATTTTCAGATGTGGACAGAAGTAGATCCCATGTGAGAGGAATTATGAGAAGGCTACATAGGTGGAAATGAGTATGTAATACTTTTGGGACATTGAGGAAGAATAGGCCTGATTGGAATATAGGATACAATGGAAAGACAAGTTGGCTAAATAAAGGGAGGTGGCCATATTATAAAAGGTACAGAATATTAGGGAAATATTAGATTTGATATGTGAGAAAATACGGAGTCACTATAAGTTTTAGAGCAGTAATATATGAACATGATGTTTCAGAAAGTTCCACTGGGTAACTTTATATAGAATAGTTTGAAAGGAAGGGGAGAGACCAAAAATAAAGAAGGCCAAGTAGGAGGCCATTAGAATTATTTGGGCGTGAGGGGATGGCATGGGAAAGGAGAGGAAGGGTTAGATACAAGAGACATTCAAAAGTGTGTGTGTGGGTGGGGGAAGGAGGGAGGCTAGTAATTATTACCAGGGAAAGATTAAGGAAAAGTAAGAACCAGAGATAATTTCAGATTCTCAAAGCCAAATGTTAGTACCATCAGTAGAAGTTAGAAGTAAGAAGAGAGTTGTTATGTGTGAGATAGATGATTGATAGTTTATTTTAGGGCAGTCTGAAATTCCAGAAAGACATTCAAGTGGAAATGATCAGAATTAGCTCAAGTCTGAAACATGAATGGGAGAAAGAGAGCTAGAGATTTGGGGCGTGGTGGGGTAGGTGGCAGAGGGTGTTACCATCATCACTGGAATTCTAGTTAAAAGTTCTGAGAGCCCCAGGAAATCTCTGCTGAGTACCAAGACCGAAGCTTTTGGAAAAGTTCACAAAGGTGGGAGGAGCTGGCATCGAGATGAAAGAGGAGAAGCAGCAGTCAGTGAAGTAGGATGGCCTAGTGTTAGCAAAGATCAAACATGGCAGGGGAGCAATGAGAGTGGGGGCAGCTAATTGACCGCTGAATCACTGAATTGACTTAGACGTTCATTGCAGATCTTTGAGAGAAATTTTGTGGGACTAAGTGAGGCGGCATTGTGTTTAGGAGTAAGGGAGGGAAGTAAAACCTGTAGTCTCCTCATTTGAAAAGTGTTGGCATTGAAAGGAGGGAGGTTAAAAAAAAGATTGAAACAGTGAGTAGACAAAAGATTAACAAACACTTGAAAAGATAATAACTTTTTTTTTTTTTTTACTGTTTTATTATATGTCAGGCACTATGCTATATGCTTTACATTCATTATCTTGCTTAAAACATACAGCAATCCCAGATAGTAGGTGCTATTATAGATAGGGCCTTTGGAGATTACTGATGGTGGGAAGAAAGGTATAAGTTTTGGGATTCAAAATGAGAGTGGGGGGGAACACCTCAAGGAGTGGTGTAAGAGGAGAAACAATCTCTAGGAGATTGACAGGAGGAATAAAAGGCTAGAAGGATAAAGACAAAAAAAAGAAAAAAAAATGAAACTGGGGCCTTGAAGAGAGAAGACAGTTTTGAATCTGTTTCTGTTTTGGGAATTGAAATGTAAAGGAATTCTGGACAGTGCTCCAGACCTAGTGGAAGCCAGATGCACTCAGTTCCGAGAGGCAGTCAGAGATATTGGTACCTTGTGATTATATGAGTCAGGATGTGGACAAAATTTTGTGACAAGTATGTGGGTGAAATCAAAGTCAAGAGCCTCGGGAACATTATGAAACTATGGGGTACCTTAGTGTTCTCTGCACTATGGAGAGCTAATTTGGAAAGGAGTGAATAATGATGGCAGCAGAGTGAGAGGACAAACTGAAAATGAAGCAGATGATTCAGGAAGGTGGCCTACATCCATGCCTGCCAACTATGATGGTTTAATCTTGCTGTTCTAAGAAGATTTTCAGATTGTTGCTCAGTTAGAGGGAAGAAAACTATAACATATATCATTCACTGCTATGTACCAGACATGGTGCCATACTTTTTATGTTATTAAACCATACAAATGATGAGACAGTATTATTTTCTTCACTTATAGGGATATTGGGGTCACATAGCTAGAAATTGGCAGAGCCTGGACTAACCAGGCCTGTTTGACTTTAAAGCTCCAGGTTCTTTCTCTGTAATGCCGACTGGTCTATTTTTATAGCCAAATTATAGTTTATTTCTAAAATTTGATTGTGGAAATATCTAAAAACAATATCATGTTCTCAGTGTATCTGAAACTTACTGAAAAGAAAATAAATTCCATTGTATAGTGAATACTCATCCCCAGTATGTCTGAAGTTTAAATTTCTATGTAAAAGTTTTAAAATATTTTTTTTTTGCATTAGCATCCCATGGTCTTCATGGGACCGGTGAATTTTGTGACTGCTATTTTTATGTGAGTAATATTTTCTGTTCTTTTTAGATTCATTGGTTTTCAATTTTCAACTCCTTCATGATGGTTATCTTCTTGGTGGGCTTAGTTTCAATGATTTTAATGAGAACTTTAAGAAAAGATTATGCTCGGTACAGTAAAGAAGAAGAAATGGATGATATGGTGAGCAAACATTTTATATTGTACTTATAAAAACAAATTAACTCAATATTACGGTGTTTTGAATATTGGATTATAGGTCCACAATCTTGAGGTCAGATAAGTTTCAGAATTCAGAATTTTCAGGTTTAAGAAAGGTGTAAACTCGATTAGTGGGGATCTCTAATCAAATCTTAATTTTTTTCAGCAAAACATGAATTCTCACCCCAAGTGGGATAAACATTATAAATAACCTATTGTTAGTTCAGTCCAAGTTTTGCCTTAAAATAAGTATATGCCAAATTTATGAAACAAACTTTCAGTTTTCAGAGCTTTCTGACTTTGCGCATTCTGGGAGTTCTCATCCTTCGCTGCCCCCCCCCCCCCCCCCCCTGTCTGTCTTTGGTCTGTCTTTCTATTGATTTTTTACAGAGAGGAAGAGAGAGGGATAGAGAGTTAGAAATATCGGTGAGAGAGAATCATCGATCAGCTGCCTCTTGCACACCCCCTACTGGGGATGTGCCCGCAACCAAGGTACATGCCCTTGACCGGAATCGAACCCGGGACCTTTCATTCTGCAGGCCGATGCTCTATCCACTGAGCCAAACCGGTTTCGGCTGGTCTGTCTTTCTAATGTGCCCTTTGCTGCCAGCTCTCCTGGCCCTCCCAGGCTGGCCAGCCACATGCTGGGCAGTGTGGGAAGGTGAAAAGGCGGCTCTGGCCGGAGTGAAGGCAGTTCCGGCAGCCAGGGGAAGGAAGGCCCATTCTTGCATGCTCCATCATTAAATAAGTTGGGAAACAGTTAAACGTTTACATTTTAATAGCTAATGTGCATTGTGAAGTATCAGAGGGTAGATAAACTATTTGGTGCTTCTCAAACATATCTGACCAGGATCTCCCCCCACAAAGTCAGATTATCCTTAGGGGCTGATATTTCTTTAAAAACATTGTTTTAGATACTTGTTTACTCAGGTTGGAAAGGAGATTAACCAAAGAACATATATGCATAATTCATAGATAGAGAAGCATGAGAAAGGTCTGAGGTGGGGGGGTTGGGTAGAGGTGGGCAAAAAGAGAAAAAATGGGAGACATCTGTAATATTGTTAAAAATAAAAGGAAAAACCAAATATCTTAAAAATACCATTTATTTAAAAATATTATTATTCAACTGTACAATATTTTCCCCATATGTTTTCTTAAATTCCAGGCTATAAAGGATATTTCTGTACTGTTAGGGCATCTAATACTGGTTTTGATACACTTCTTTTCTACCTGGCCCCTGGTCACATATGAGCCACAGTCATGATGTAAATGGCAAGAGTAGTGTCTGAAAGTGATGTTAAGAGTCAGTGTGCTATTTTACCAATTTCGCCATTTCTTTTTGCTGTAAACGGTTTTCTTTTTTCATCCTTTGATATTTCTCAGAGCAGAACTGAAAAGCACCTGCTTAAGCCTCAGTAAAGTTATTAAGGCAGTGATCATTTTAAATTTGACATTTCTTGATATTTTGAACCCCTTTAAATAGCTGTAAGTTTGGATAGAGGATACTTACAATTCTAATGATAATTTTCACCTATTTTCTGTATTTTATTTTCATTCTGAATGATTTTTCTCTTCTGTCTCCATGTTGATGTATTTAGGATAGAGACCTAGGAGATGAATATGGATGGAAGCAGGTGCATGGTGATGTATTTAGACCATCAAGTCACCCCCTGATATTTTCTTCTCTCATTGGTTCTGGATGTCAGATATTTGCTGTGTCTTTCATTGTTATTATTGTTGCAATGATAGAAGATTTATATACAGAGTAAGTGCTTATTCTTTATTACTTTTTTGTTGCTCTTGAATCATTGTAATAATTGGAGCCTTTTAAAAAGTCAATCATAATTAAATAATTGTATATTACAATTCTTAGAATTTAAATAGTGTAAATGTCATTAAGACAAATAATGAACAGTTATCTTTAGGTATAAGTATATTTTTCTGTTAAATGCTAAAACTTACCTTATTGAGCATTCTGGTTGGTTATTAGAGGTATGAGAGAGTTACTTGTAGTCCAGAACTATTTGACAAAGTGTATAAGGCATTTTTTTTGAAAGCCACAAGCTGAAGATCCAAGTAGATCTTCATAAGAAGCACAGGTTTTCACAGTACTGAATGAGTTCTTCACATATACTTCAAAACTGAGAGACGATAGACCAGAAGAAAGCATTGTAAATAATAGTAAAAAAGAGTATTGGAAAAGGCACATGAGGTTAGAAAAATAATTGGGTAATTTCTTATCCAATCTTCCCATGGTTCCTGGTACATTTTTCCATTTAGTGGAAATGTCTCTGGGCACTGACTGCAAGCTTTAATTCCTGGTAGTCATTTTGGACTCTCAGTCACATAGGCAGCCTTTTTGATCCCTCATTGCTACCTGGTATTACTAAGAATTAGAGGCCCCGGGCATGAAATTTAAGCATGGGTAGGGCCCTTAGTCCTGGCCGGCGATCAGGTTCCCCATCTCCTGGCCTCCCTACCTCCTCCTTCTCACACTCCCTCAGTGCCCTGCCACTGCTGCTGGTTGCCCACCATGTTCTGCGCTTCCCTCTGGTCAACGAGGGATCAAACTCCTGGTCTCCTGGTTGAACTTCCAAGGGGACAGTTTGCATATTAGCCTTTTGTTATAGAGGATGCTGGCTGAATTAGATTGGTCTTAGATTAAAACAGCCTTTCAGCATTGTTAGTCCTATGTGACCTCATATACCAAGTTATAAACAGAAAGTGGGTTGGAGTTGTTGATAGTCTGGAAGGATTAAGTGAATACTTGTATTGTTTAATTGGGTTCTTGAAAAAACTAATTTGATTTTTAAAACTGACTTTTTGAGACGTGTGATCTTTTAAACACAGGAATGATACATTCTTATTACCACATTTATATTTAGCTATATATGGATGGAAATTGAACATTGGAATGCTTTAACTATTACATATCCACTTTTAGAAATTGAGCATAGGTGTTTGGGCAGAAGATGTTACATATTTCAAGTCTGTATGATGTCTTTGTATTTTAAGTGGAATATAATAATAATTCTTACCCATAAGATGGTTAGTTTATAAAAATTGTATTACCTCCCAGTGCATACATTAATTCTTATAAATTATCTTCAAAAAGAGTATTCTTTAGCTCAAACTGACAAGAATATATGTTCTATGACTAGAGCTTCTAATATTTTCTATATGTGGAACATATTTTGCCTTCCTACTTATAGTGAGTTTAAAAAATGGTCTTTATTGTTAGTGACTTAAGTACATTTCTGTATTATGGCAAGTGATACTGTCACTTCTTTTAATTTTTCTTTTTGCAATTTGGCATTTTAAAATTTTTGTCTAGTTTTACTCAAGAGGGTTGGTCTGAATGTCTCAGTGTTATATCATTTAAAGTAATAACAATAATATAATAGATTTTACTACTTATGTTATATTTCTGTCAGCAAAGGCATGAAACTTAAACAGTTAAATTATAAAGAGGAATATTCTAATTATTTTTCTTACCAGATGAATATTCTTTTCCATATGATGTGATTGGCTTAGAGAGTTACAAAAACAGTTTTAGTGCCAGCTTCTAATATTTTTGCCAAAGAATTATATACAGGGTGGGCAAATGTAGGTTTACAGTTGAGTCATGAAACACTGTTTTTTTTCCATGTATTCATTGTATTATTTTCCATATAAACAGCTATAAACCTGTTTTTTCCCCTCCCTGTATTGAGAAATATATTATGAAATTTATGCAGATTTAAAAAAATGAGGATCATCAGCCTGTACCAGTTAAGCGTAATTTTAACTGGAAATTCATTTACTAGGCAACCTTTTGCAGTCCAGGATGGTATATATACATTTTTATTGATTAATTTTTAGAAAGGAGTGGGGGGGAGTGGTAGAGACAGAGACAGACAGACAGATAGACATCAATTTGTTGCTCCACCCATTTGTGCATTCATTGGTTGATCCTTGTGTGTGTCCTGACCAGGGATCGAATCCCCACAACTTTGGCATATCAGGACAATGCTCTAACCAACTCAGCTACCAGCCAGGGCTCAGGATGATATTTTTGTGTTCCTGTTAAATTTATCTTTGAAATTAAACTAAAGTTAATATGATAGGTTATATGATATGTTCTTCAAGTTGTTGGTGTTAATTTATCTTATACATCTTTTCACCTTCTTAGGAGGGGATCCATGCTCAGTACAGCCATATTTGTCTATGCTGCTACATCTCCAGTGAATGGTTATTTTGGAGGAAGCTTATATGCTAGACAAGGAGGTAACTTATGATTTATCACTTTGTATTTTTAATTATATAATAGATGCTAATATTTTATGGTGAGGTATTTAGAATTTAAAATGGGCAATACAGGCATCATAAAATTCTTTGCTATCACATTTCACATAATCTCCATCAAACCTATTATGTGTTCTATCTTACCTTTATTGAACCTCCTTGCAGTTTATTTTCTAAAATTGTGAACAATGAAGATTCTTTCCATCGCTTACTCAGCAGTTAGGCCTGAGGAACATGTAGTAGAAAGTATATAGAAGTTATTGATATTATTTTACTTTGAGGTGCCTAGCTCCCTACATGTGCTTCATGGGAGGCCTCCACATAGAGTTTATAGCTTTATAGTTGACTTTGAAGGCATGTTTTATGGTTTATGGATAAAGTGTCCATAAAGAGTTTTCTGTTTGGGTCACTATTGCTTATGATTGTGGAGCTGAATGAGAATAGTGAGCCAGTGTTAAATCTCCCGTTTGTCCCTAAGCAGTAGAAGAGGCTCCACAGCAGTGCACTTGGTCACTGAACGGGTTTTAACATATTTATTGCTTAGCTTAAAAATGACTTCCCTTTGTTGTTTAAATAATAGGTGCTCACTGCATAGAATTTTGGCAATACAAAGAGGTGCAAAGAAATAATAAAGCTTATGCATCGATAGTTCTAATGGCTGAGAGAGCTCATGAAACACATTCCATTGTTTTTCCTTTTAAAATGGAGATACATTTAAATATGTGTTTATAATGAGAGAGCAAAGAGTAAATTTAGGGACTGTTTAACCGAGTTTTTTTTTTTTAGTTTTTTTTTAATTATTTTTTTTAAGCAGTGCAGCCCCCAGTGAAGCTTCCCTGAAACCCCAGTGTGTAAAACTGTAAAATTAAACTTACTCTGGTTGAACCAGGGCTTGGTGACCTGGGCTCTTTTTTCACCAGTGACTCCATTGGCACCTACAAGAAGCTCCAGAACTCCAAGCAACATTTTCAAAACACCCTTCTAAGCCAACTTATAGCCCAGAATGATTGAGTGGCTTACCAAAGTTCACAGCAGATCAGTGGCAAAATCAAGACAAAACATCAGAATATTTTACTAGTTCATTGCTCTTTTCCAGTTCATCCCTCTTCAAAAACTGCATTTCCATTAGATGCACTTGAATAGCCAGACTAGTCTTTACTAGCTAATGTTTTGAAATAGTTAATAGGAAGTCAAATTAGGAACAAAATAATCAACTCTTAACCATTAATATATGCCTGTCTGTCTACCTCTCTGATTTTCATAGTTTCCCTTCTCTTCCAGGAAGGAGATGGATAAAACAGATGTTTATTGGGGCATTCCTTATCCCAGCTATGGTGTGTGGTACTGCCTTCTTCATCAATTTTATAGCCATTTATTACCATGCTTCAAGAGCCATTCCTTTTGGAACAATGGTAAGCTGCTTGAGTCATACTTTTAAACTGAAAAAATATGAACTTTTTAATATGAAACCTGCAATCTCTCCCAAGTACTTCTTTAAAAAAAAAAAAAAAAAAAAAAAATATATATATATATATATATATATATATATATATTTTTTTTTTTTTTTTTTTTTTTTTTTTTTTTTTTCCCAGAGAGAAGGGAGAAATAGAAACATCAATGATGAGAATCATTGATTGACTATCTCCTGCATGCCCCCTACTGGAGATCGAGTTCACAACTGAGGCATGTGCCCTTGACTGGAATCGAACCCCAGACCCTTAAGTCCACAGGCCCATACTCTACTGAGCCAAACAAGCTAGGGCTGAGCATGGACTTTTAGACAGGCAGATCTGAATTGAAATTTTAGTTTGTCTTGCTGTGTGATCATAGTAGTTACTAAGTTTCTTTTAAGTCTTTTATTTCATTCATAAAATAGTGAAATAACCTATGTAAAGCTCTTTGTGCATATTAAGAGCTCAATAAAGTGTAACCAAGTACTAAATAAGTTGGTTATGGTGAGGAAAAATAAAGGCTATGTTGCAAGCATGGCAATTGAAAGCATGACCTGTTAAAACTTTAGAAAGTGAAAGAAGAGAAAAAAGAACTCCAGCAGAAACAGTATGGAATAGGAAAAATAGGGAAGTAAAGTAAATAGGAAATACTTCAACTTATATTTAGTTCAATTCTAATATTATAATGCACATTCTTTTCCTATTTTCATCTGTGTATATCCTGCACAATTTTAAACTACATTGAACCTACGTGTTTTCTTTTGTGATTTAAATTGTGTTTAAATTTTTATATCCCTTTTATTTATTTTTATTAATGTTACCGTTTTGAGTAATCATATACATTTTAATTTAATTTACAGGTGGCTGTTTGTTGCATCTGTTTTTTCGTTATTCTTCCTCTAAATCTTGTTGGTACAATACTTGGCCGAAATCTGTCAGGTCAGCCCAACTTTCCTTGTCGTGTCAATGCTGTGCCTCGTCCCATTCCGGAGAAAAAATGGTAAAGAGAATGCTAAATCTTAAGTGACTGTTCCTCACGATATAGAAGTTGTTAAGGCTGTTATATGAATGCACCTTTTAGAATTGGATTGTATTTACAAGAATGACTATCATAAGTTTTGACTTAATTTGTCTTTTTACATTTTCTTTCAACCTGTTTGTTAGATAGAAATAGTAATAAATTTTATCCTTATTTCAGTTTTTGAATATTGGTGCATTTACAGATAAGTCAAATGCTTTGATAAGTATACTATGTGTAAGGGTGGGTGAGAACTAAAGCTGCAACAGTTGTATAATTGCAGTCTACAGGCCAAATTTTATTTTCTGCTGTTTTTATCACAATAAGTCTTGTTGGAACATGCCTGTTCATTCATATATTATTCCTGATTACTTTTATAGTTCAGCATTAGAGTTGAGAAAGTTATATTAGAGACCATATCACCTGCAAAACCTGAAGTATTTACTATCTAAACCTTTACAGAAAAAGTTTGCCAATGCCTCCTTTACCATTTGATTTTCCTTTCCAGATATTTATTGTTCTAAACAATACTGGCATACACTTATAGCCAGATATATTTCACAAATTGAGAGATGAATTAGGGTTGAGACCAAATGTAGTTTATGACTTGTGGTCTTTATCTTCATTTCTGGGATACATAGAATCTCTCAAATACATTCTGTCACATTGTATGCACAGACTGTGTTCTTGAGGCCTTCCTATAATTCAAGATTAATCCTGACAAAAGATGACAAGTATTTTTGTTTAACAGAAGAGAAAGACTCTTTAATTGCAACAGAGTAAACATAGTTTTCAGTTTAATAGACCAATCAGCCTTCAAAATATGATTCTTGATGATTTTTAATTTGAGATGATTTGTATTGTAATTAATTTGAGATGATTTATGACCAGCTTTTATCTTTATATTTCTTACTCTTGTAATTAAAATCTGAACAAAATGTGAACTCTGCACTTACGTATTTTTCCTCTTAAAATTAGTAAACTGAATATTATATATAATTAATATAATATTAAATTTAATATTAATTAAATTGATTTATTCTATTCAGCATTCTTTTTTCCCTAATTCTTAGTTGCATATAAAAATAGTGTTAACTGTACATTTATTACATTCCCCATCTCATAAGATTTGCTGTACAGAAGACTACATATTCATAATAAGGGTTATATATTGAACCCTCTGTTCCTATTTCCCACATTTAAATGTATCATATTCAGGTACTTATACAATGTTTTGTAGACTTGGAGGAATGTAGACATTTATAGAAGGAAAGGCTGAATAAAATAGCTCCTATAGTTTAAAGGAGAGTCATCTGTTCTAGTCTAATTATTCTTGTTCTTTTTGTCTTAGATTGGGCTTATGAGAATTTTTTAGTCTGTTTTTTTTTTAACTCAGCTATATTTTAAAGATTTATTGTTAAGGCTCATTGATATCTTGATGTTCACCTATTACTGGGAAAATTTTTCTAAGATTGGTCTTAAGAGGATTTTCTAGTCTGTTTTATAACTCAACTATATTTTTCAAATTTGATTATTGAGGCCCATTGATATCCTGATGTTCACCTCTTATTGGGGAGGATAAGTTTAAAGGGAAAGCATAGTCAGAAATCAAAATGGTTCTCTAGGTCACTAGGGCTAATGGAGGAGAGGAAGAACCAACACATGACCTTGCCAACCATGGATTAAATTTAGGTGTAGGAAGACTTGTGTGTATTTTCTTTTGCTTTATATAGACACAGGGGAACCAAAATCTGAAGACTAGATCTGGTTCTCACTGTATCATCTTGGGGGCAGATTTGTTTGTTTGTTTTTGTTAATCCTCACCCTAGGATATTTTTTTCCATTGATTTTTAGAGAGAGTGGAAGGGAGGGAGGGGCAAAAAAAGAGAGAGAGAGAGAGAAACATCAGTGTGAGAGAGACACATCCATTGGTTGCCTCCTGCACGTGCCCCCCTGGGGAACAAACCTGCAACCCGGATACATGACCTTGACCAGGGATTGAACCCAATACCCTTTGGTCCAAAGGCCGATGCTCTACCACTGAGCTACACTGATCAGGGGTGGACAAATCATTTTTAAAAAAATATATTTTATTGATTTTTTTTTTTTTAACATAGGAAGAGAGAGTTAGAAACATTGATGAGAGAGAAACATCAATCAGCTGCCTCTTGCACACCCCCTACTGGGGATGTGCCCGCAACCAAGGTACATGCCCTTGACTGGAATCGAACCCGGGACCTTTCAGTCCGAGGGCCAACGCTCTTGGACAAATCATTTTTAACCTCTATAGGTCTTGACATACTATAAAATGAGGAAAGAAGACTAAATTAAATGATTTTTAAGTTTTTCCAGCTTTCAGATTCTTTTATTTTCCTCTCAGTTTTTTAGTTTGTTCATTCCAGAGTTTTAATTTAGTACCATTTATGTGCCAGGCACTGCTGGGCACTGGGAATACGTAGCTGAATAGCTTCTGCCTGCCAGAGTTTATGGTCGAGTGAGTTATGTATGTAATTAGACAGTGTGTTAACTGTTGTGGGGGAGTTACATTCAAAGGACAGTGGAAGGACCCTCCTCTTTCTGGGAGACTTAGAAAAGGTGTTACGACGACACTTGAGCTAATACTTGCAGGGAAGTATGAGACCAGATAAGGCATAAATAGTAAAATGTATATTGAGTGAATGAATGAGGTTTGAAATTTAATTTTTCATTCTTTGGCTCCATTAATATCTTCATTGTATAACTCATAGCAAAAGGAATTACTATACCAATGAAAGACTGAGCAAAGAAATGGCAAGGCTACCCTTTGGGAAACATTACTGAAATGGGGTCTTAAGACTTAGAGTTGTTTCATTGGCAAGAAGTTGTGTTTCCTAAATTCCTATCTCAGCCTTTAGTGCCGGAAAGAATTTTGACTCTGTTCTAGAACTAATTTGAAGTTCCAATTCGGTGTTTTACCTCTTTGTATTTTAACTTTTTTTTTTTTTTTTTTTAATATATTTTATTGATTTTACACAGAGAGGAACTGAGAGGGACAGAGAGTTAGAAACGTCGATGAGAGAGAAACACCGACCAGCTGCCTCTTGCACACCCCCCACCGGGGATGTGCCCGCAACCAAGGCACATGCCCTTGACCAGAATCGAACCCAGGACCTTTCAGTCCGCAGGCCGATGCTCTATCCACTGAGCCAAACCGGTCCCGGCTTTTTTTTTTTTTTTTAAACTGATTTGTTTCTATCATTTAGAAGCATCTTTCTGTTATTAGGATTTATATAACATAAAAGCATACTAGAACTTTAATGTTAATTTTAATATTTTCCAGGTTTATGGAGCCTGCAGTTATTGTTTGCTTGGGAGGAATTTTACCTTTTGGCTCAATCTTCATTGAAATGTAAGTTTTGGCAATGTATTTATGCGTTGAGGGATTTAATTGTAATTAGAGAATTTAGGAGTTAGGGTAGGATGGGAAAGCATCAGAGTTAGTCTGTTAATTCCATGGCTTCCAGAAAGGGGTCTATATATCTATCTAAAAGTAGTGTTCTGCTCTGTTCTGAAATATTCAGATGAAGTTTATACTTGTTTTACATTATATTCTAGACCTCTCTCATTCTATAAGAAATCTTAGAAATCAAACCATGCATGCTAGAGAATGCTAGACCAGCTTTTGGTCACAAGCACAATGGAAGGAATTACTGGAGTTTATTGTAAATATTTGAGTGTCCAGGGAACTAGGTAAACTATTAACTACCAGTCAGACTATCCTGACTTCTTTGGAGGCATAGTCATTCCTAATTTTCTTCCATAGACACCTGCAGGAGTGCTAGGAAATGTGTGGTGGTTTTGGTTTTTTTTTGTGTGTGTTTTTTTGGGGGGATGGGGGTGGGCAGGAGAGAAGTATGCCACCTTATGCCCAGTTACCATGCTTCACAACTACATTCTTGGTTACCATTGCAAAATGTAGCCTTCCTTTTCTCTGCCTGGGTGCCAGAGTTTCTTGATGCAAATGTGCTGGCATTTTAGGCAAGGCAGTTCTGTGTATGATTCTCTCTCCAGAACTGCAATCCTACAGCCCCTGCCCATGAAATGCCAGTCATTGTAACTGCTCAAAATTCCTCTACACATTTCCTGTTAACTGCCCCACTGCTGATTCTCTCCTGCACAGTGGATGCCTCCTTAACATACATGATTGGACCTGATAGTTGATTAATTGATAAAGTTGCCTCATGTAAGGGAATTATAAATAAAGATATATACATAACATTTAATTTTAACTTAAAACAACAAAAGGTACATTCTTCACTGAGTTTTAAAAAAAATTTTTTAATCCAAAGTTTTTTCTTTGATTTGTATCTAGTTGGTGTTTCCGTCATTTTTCCTTTGACCTTCATAATACATCCTCTGTGTTCTCCAGCCTTTATAAAGTGGAGGAAGAACAACATAAGACCTGTCTGAAGCATTCTAAGTTCAGAATCCTACATTTGAACATTCGTCCCCCAATCTTTTATAGTCATCTCACCCACACTTAGTTTTATAACTTCTTTTAGCAACTCACCATATTGCATTTTCCTAAAGCATTTAAAATAATTAGAAATCCCACATCCTTTGTGCTCTTGTTTATTGGCTTATGTGACATTAACTTAATTGTCTAATTACACTAACAAGTACAACTGTATAGATTTAGGCAAACTCCTGGTGCTCATGTACCAGCTGTGGCTTTTAGTCAATACCTTGTAGAGGGATTGGATTGGTGTTTGTGTCACTTTAGCTCATGGTTTAATACAGCTGGTTCGGGAGCTTTACATCTGATACAGCTTTAACTTGACTTAACCGCCGACTGTTTTCCCCTCCTGTCCCCATCCTCAGTTCCTTCTGGCTCACATCTCTGTTTGCTTTCTCAGGCATTTTGTTCCATTAGCTAGCCTTTCTGCTGTATCTTTAACCTCTGTTTTGATCTCCTGCACACCGTGCCATTCTGCCCTTGGTGGTCAAAGTGATCTTTTAAAGGTATCAGTCTGATCATGTCACTACTTGGCTACAGACTCTTGTTTTCATTGAGGTAACTCCAAATTCCATAACAAGACCAATAAGGATCTTCATGATACAGGATCTGGCCCTGATCACATTCATCTCAGCTTTCACCCCTTCAGTTGAAGTTCTAGCCTCACTGATCTTTTGAGTTTTTCAAAATACAGTGCATTTTCTCATTTGTGAACCTTTGCCTTTGCTGTTTTTTTGAGAGAAAAATATTGACATTAAAGTGGGAACTAAGATGAGAGACTGACCAAGAGCAGGGTAAGTATTAAGATAAAAACTTAGAAAGCTGTCTCTGCCTTTTACTCAGGTATTTCATCTTCACCTCTTTCTGGGCATACAAGATCTACTATGTCTACGGCTTCATGATGCTGGTGCTGGTCATCCTGTGCATTGTGACTGTCTGTGTGACCATTGTGTGCACATACTTCCTGCTGAACGCGGAGGACTATAGGTGGTGAGTACTTACTTTGGGGAAGAACCTTTGGGGACCATAATGTTTTAAAATAAGATTTCATTTGAAGTATGTTGAGTGAAGTAAAAGATCTGAATAAAAAATGTGCTACTTAAAATAGTATAGGGAATTTTTCAGTTATAAAAATGATATAAAGATGGTGAAGATTTTCTGTTATAGTGTCAGTCTTTTTGTATTAATGAGGGTCATGTGTTAGAAATATTTTTACAGAATGCTAGATGTGGAAGAAGCTTTATGAGTAGCTTCACATATTTAAATGTGAAGTACATAATTTGTTTTTAAATATACAAAATTTCAAAGGATTTAAAAAATGAAATGATTTGCTTTTTAAAATCCTCATTTCAGTGCCATTCATTCTAAAAAGCTATGTTTCCCCTCCTAGGCAATGGACAAGTTTTCTGTCTGCTGCATCAACTGCAATCTATGTTTACATGTATTCCTTTTACTACTATTTTTTCAAAACAAAGTAAGTTGAAACATTTTCTCATTTGTGTTTAAGAATAGAACTAGTCATTTAAATATTATCATTTAAGGCCTTACGTTGAGAATGAAAATGGATATAATATATATATTTATTTTGTCTTATTTCAGGATGTATGGCTTATTTCAAACATCATTTTACTTTGGATATATGGCGGTATTCAGCACAGCCTTGGGGATAATGTGTGGTAAGTTAAAAATCTTGGAATATCATGAGTAAATCTTTGAGTGTTTCAGAATCAGAAAAATGCAGTAATGGGAAATTAAGAAATTATATTTTATTGGATCAGCAACATCAAAATAAGATTCTGGTTCACTTTTTTTTTTTTTTTTAGTCCCACCTATAGTTATAGGGTGAGTAATAGAATAAGGCAAATGTAATCATCTTGTTAAAAACTAGGTTCTAGTCTAGTGGACTCCTTTGGGTAGCAGGATTGCTTTTTTTCTTTACCAGAAGAATCTTTTCTCCATATTGATGGGAGTTAGAGGTGGATGTTGGAGGTACAAACTTCCAGAGTTCTGGGGATGTAATGTACAGCGTGATGACTATGATTAATAATACTGTATTGTATATTTGAAAGTTGCTAAGACATTAGATCCTAAAATAGATCTCAGAAAAATAATTTGTAACTGTATGGTGGTGGATGTTAAATAAAATTATTGTAATAATTATTTCACAGTATATACAAATAACAAATCACTGTTACACAATTAAAACTAATAAAATGTTTTGTATCAATTAAAAAAAGAATATGTTCATATATACGATGTATATGATCCTGTGTGCGCACACACTATGGTTGACATCTGTTGTCAAGTAGTAAAACTCATTCCACAGACAATAAGGGAAGACATTTCTCTATATTATCATCACATGTTTATTTAGCTGTTGAGATAACCTTTCTTTGTGATAATTAATTAGTTAACCAACTTTGGGGGGAAGATGAATAGGAACTGAAGGTTAAAACTAGATTTGGGAACATCCTGATGTATTTTTTAGGCAATCAGAAGGTTCCTTTAGTACTGTTGGCCATCCTTTCATCAGAATATTGCTCATAGAGTTCCTCTTTATTTCATCTGAGGTCTTTCTTGATTACCACCACTATTCGGTAAGATATAGAATAATGGGATTGTGCAGAAATATTTTGTGTGTTTTTTTTTTTCTTGATGTATGATCTTTGACCTAGAGAAATAATATCTTGACATTTACAAATAAAATGGAATGAATTTAGGTAAAATTTTTAGTACTTTTCCTGTTGAAATTTCATTTTGCTACTTGAAAATCTTGGCACATTTACAGTTGCCTGTTGTGCTGGCAGTGTCCCAATATTTGTTCTTCGGTAGGTGTATATGCTTTCATTTTGGGGGGCACAGGGGAAACAGGTCAGGCTGAAACTTACTCAGATGTCATCATGATACAGAATTATATTCATCAGATTATGTATCAGCAACTGAAAGAAAAATATTGATTAATCCTCATATACCTAACATACTTACCATCAATAATTATTATCTTACTAGAGGCCTGGTGCACGAAATTTGTGCAATGGGGGGGGGGGGATTCCTCAGCCTGGCCTGTGCCCTCTTGCACTCTGGGAGCCCTCGGGGGAAGTCTGACTCACATGGAGGTGGGAGAGGCTCCCACCACTGCTACTGCACTTGCCAGCCATGAGCCCAGCTTCTGGCTGAGTGGTGTTCCCCTGTGGGAGCGCACTGACCAAGGGGGGCAGCTCCTGCATTGGGCGTCTGCCCCCTGGTGGTCAGTACGCATCATAGTGATCAGTGGTTCTGCAGTTCGGGCGATTTGCATATTAGCTTTTTATTATATAGGATGGCCCATTTTGTCTTTTCATTTAACATATTTTGTTACTAACAAATTATTCTTGCTTTATAAGAGATGTATTTTAATATATTTATTGATTACATATATAATAATTGTTACTTAATTCTAAAAATATATCAGGCCAAACTTGCTGTATGGAAATAACAGGTAATTTGCAAAACAAATGGTACAATTTTAATAAGTTCAAAGAGAATTCTAATATAAAGACATTATCTTGATAAAAAAGGAGAACACTCCAGAGCAGAGGGCATTTAGTGTTTGTAAATGATGGATATTGTTCTGTATGTATTTGTTTCAAAACCTTTTTTTATCTTTACAGGAGCGATTGGTTACATGGGAACAAGTGCCTTTGTCCGAAAAATCTATACTAATGTGAAAATTGACTAGAGACCCAAGAAAACCTGGAACTTTGGATCAATTTCTCTTTCATAAGTGTGGAACTTGCACAGCAAAAAAAGCGCAAGAGGAGATTTGGGCGTTAACACTGGGTACTTTGTGGGTCTATCTCTCATGGATGGCATAAAGTAACATCTATTTCCATTGATCCTAGGTTCTTACTGACTGCTTTCTCCAACTGTTCACAGCAAATGCTTGGATTTTATGCAGTAGGCATTACTACAGTACATGGCTAATCTTCCCAAAAACTAGATCATTAAAGGTGAAATAGACCAGCTCTCTTCAGTGAAGAGGACAAATAGTTTCTTTAAAGCATTTGTTCCAATAAAATGACTAGAGGGAAACTTGGATGCTAAAATTACATGAATAGAAATCTTCCTAGCACTTAGTGTCTCCATGTTATTGAAAAATGATGTTCCAGAAATATTATTTTTTCTCTTATTTTTACTGCTATCATCAACCTATTGTGGGACATTTTTATATATTGAACCTGGGTTCTTTTTTGAGCATCCTCCCCCCCCCCCCCTCCATTCAACTGCATCTTTTTTCTAAAAGAGAGAATTAAAAACATTAAATTCTGCATGTAATATATCTGCTGTCATCTTAGTTGGACCAGCTTCCCATGTATTTACATCTTAATTCCATCCAAAGAAGATACAGTCTGAAGATAGAGGTGTACTCTCTACAATGCAATTTACTGTACAGTTAGAAAGCAAAATGTTAAATGGAGAACATATTTGTTTTATTAAACATTTTGAGATTTAGATAAAGTACATTTTAACTAAATGTCCTAAGTGATTATCTTTTCTCCCCCCTCTCACTCCCCAAGTTAGTCTTACATCTTTTTTGGGTTTGAATGAAGGTTTTGCATAATAAAATTATTAAAAACAAGGGGGGGTGGGTAATAAATGTATATAACATTAAATAATGTAATGTAGGTGTAGATTCCCAAATGCATTTGGTTGTACAGATTGATTACGGAGTACTTTTTTCTGATGATGATTGGTGTAGAAATGTGTGAATTTGGGTAGCTTTTTACATCTTGCCTACCACTGCATGAAACATTGGGGTTTCTTCAAAATGTGTGTGTGTCTTCTTTTGGGAAGGGGGGGGGATTGTTTTCTGTTTCTTTTCTGAGACTCCTACAGGAACTAAATTTGTAATTTAGAAACCTTTAATTTTGTTAATCTTGTCTGGGGCACTTAAGTAGCATCTAAAGCATACTGCTTTAGAATGTTAAAATAAAATTTCTGATCAAATTGTTTTGTGAAATTAGATGTGTTTGCAATTTGAAACTATCTTTTTAAAAGACAACATTATTGAATGCAGTTTTTAAATAAACTGTAAATTATGCTTTTTTAATACAGGGAACTCACACTTTAAAATCCCCAAACTTGCTTACTCTAGATTATCCAATACAGTCAGAAATGAATGATAAGCCCTTTGAATGAAATTGTGGCACAAAGTCTGTTCAGGTTGGTGAACCCTGTGAAATGGGTGGGGGGTAAAAGTGGTTAGGTTACTATTGGATGAGCAAATAAAGATTAAAATTTTCTAAAAGAAGAGATTTTCATTTTGCATACATCTTTCTGGAACTATCCATAATGTGAAGTTTTCCTAGAACCATTGAGTTTCTAGTTTAATAGTTTGCTATGCAAATGACCACCTAAAATAATTCTGTATATTGGTATTTTTAGAAGAGTCAGAACAGCTATATTTAAACCTTATTGTGAAACTCATGCCATTCATAGTTACATAAGATGTTTTCATCACAAAATGTTTATCAATTAGTAAACTCTGCATCCTACATGTGGTATGTAACGACTATAAAGTGAAAAAATATGGTATCTTACTACTCAAGTGTGGCTGACAGAAATTTGATCAGAAGTTATAGGTAAATCCTCTTCACACCAAGATGTTATATTAAATGTAATACACTGGTGATTCCATTTTCTCTTCCTTTTTACTTACCTTTCCTTAGGATCTTATAAGAAAAATGAAAAGTCAGTATATAATGGTTTATATTTCTAACTAACAGCATATAGTCTGATGGATTGCAAATTGGACAGCAAGCTTTTGTTATAATAAAATGAAATTTGTTTTTTCATGAGTTTTGCAGGTAATATTAGGGTTTTTAAAGAATGAGTGGGTTAGCTGCCTTTAGTACACCAGTTCTTTTTATTAAATTGAGCTCTGTTTGAAATCTTTTGGAATCTTCCGTGGGAAATAGTTTTCTAATTTCCATGTATATTAAGAGGTCCATTAAAATGAATATGAATCACGTTGAAAAGTCCTTTAGAAAATGTGTATTGATTTATGTCTTCATAGAAGGGCTGGCTGTGGTATGTCTTGAAGAAGATGTAATTCACAAATGGCTTAGCTCCCTAGATCTCAGTTGTAGACTAGTAAAATAAAATAGTTAAGTAATTAAAGGATGGGGTTTTCCCACTTTATTGATGCTGCATATCTGTCTCATTTATTAATATTATTTGCTCAACTTCGCAACTGATGCTTTGAACACGACCAAAAACTAAAGATTTACTTTCCCCTTGTATCGTAAGCATATTTCTCCTAAAATTTATATATGTATTAAGTTGTGCAAGAGTAGGATAACGTGGAAATGAAAAGGCTGGAGGGAGGATAGTGGAGCATTCTTTACTAGGTCATGTTTGGGCTCCGAGATTGTATTGGGTTTGCCCATAAATCAAACCCCATACTCTTACAATTCATTATTATGTGGTGATAGCTGAATGGGAATGGTGTATTTACCTAGTGAATGGTATGCTTGGGTATTTTCCATGGAGAGTGGATGGACCTCTTTATAAAGATGGTTGCTGCAAATCCCAGTTCTTCCAAAAGCCACTTTATTTAGGGTTTATCCACAAATTGTATTCATTTTGATAAAGCTTTTGATTTTTAAATATGTACTATCCATATTATGCCAAATGTCTTGCAAATAAATGTTATTTTAAATTTTCCTGAATTTTTACAAATGTAAAAAAGAAAAAATGTATTAATGTAATTTGTTCAGGAAAAGCTACATACCGAAGGGCTTCTGTTTATGAAGTCTAGGAAAGAAAAGCCTGTTTGTAATCTATACACTGTAGTTCCACCTGGGTTTTAAATTTAGATTTTAGAGTGTCTTCGTGCTTTATTCTCTTGAGTTATTGGAACACATAATAAATAGGAGTAGTTATGTATGAAAACAGGTATTTATTAATGTTTTATATCTTCATAAAAATTTTAATTATGAAGCTGTATTTTAGCAATCAAAGATGTTAAATAGATAAGTGGCATTTTTAAACGATTGGAAGTATATGCAGAAAGACTAGATTCAGAGGTATGGTAGATCAGAAAGTTAGCATACAGCTGCAGAAATTTTGTATGATTTAAATTCAGTATGAGGAATGATTAGTTCCTCTTGTGAGTATTTCTTAAAAGCTATCTGATTTGATATTCTTATTGGAGCTGTAGGCAGAAGAATGCAAAGACAGTAGTAAAAAAATAAAGTTATTTCACTGTGCTGGGAAATGGAAATGAACTGTTATGAAAGCCACTTATATTGAAGTATTGCTGAAATAAGATTGCTAATACTTGACTGATAAAACAGCATTTGGTGTGTTTAGCCTAGTTCATCAGTTTAGATCATTTGAAGGTTTTAAACGTTATAAGTAAGAGCTTATGGCAAGGAAGCAATAACATGGAATCCTATTTAAAAGCTACCACAGCGTACTTGGGAAAGCAGTCCCACTCAGGCTTCCAGCTCTTCCAAACTCGAATCTATAAATTCCCACAGAGCGCAGATGATCGGTGACAGAGTTGGAAGGAAACAGTTATTGCTTGGTGATTACTTTTATTTTGTACATACCCTTGGTTTATGTAGGCCATATTCCAGCTGGCTTTTTTAGTAATAGAAATCCACTATATAATGTATCAAATACATTTGAGGTTCTAATCTAGTCTGTTTAACTGAAGTTGGATTTTTAAAAGTAATAAAAAGTTAAATGTATTTCCCTTGGATCCTTTATTTCTTTCCTTTTTGAAACAGGTGAACCAAGAATAAGGAATAACCCGTTATTAATGGCACACATATGAAGAGATGACTGATAGCTTCCTGCAATTACATAAAGTAGGGTTCAGCAAACCTTTTCTGTAAAGGGCCAAATAGGAACTATTTGAGGCTTCTCTGCTGCAACTGACTATTGTAGCATGTGGTGACAGCACATAAACTGGTGTGGATGCATGTGTTCCAATGTAACGACAGAAACAGACGGGGGGCCATCATTTGCTGACACCTGACATGAAGGATTTAAGATTTTATTTCGCCCAACTTTATATTTTGGGAAAAAAACAATGTACAGAAAGTGAAAAGAACGTTACAATGAATTAGGGTTGTCCTTTTTAAAAATGATGTTTCTTTTATGATCATTTTTTAACATCTTTTCCATACAAGCTCCGACTCCTACACAGAAACCCTACGCTCCCCCATGCCTGTCATTCTCCTGTTTATTAATACATTGCATTTGTCTAGTACTTATTTTTACAAATGAGTTTCAGATATGTTTCCTTATGACTGTTCTGTGGAGTTGATAGGGTAGACACCTACATTTTATGGAAGTATTTTTTAAAAATATATATTTTATTGATTTTGTACAGAGAGGAAGGGAGAGAGATAGAGAGTTAGAAACATCGATGAGAGAGAGTCATCGATCAGCTGCCTCTTGCACACCCCTACTGGGGATGTGCCCGCAACCAAGGCACATGCCTTTGACCGGAATCGAACCCGGGACCCTTCAGTCCCCAAGCCGGCGCTCTATCCATTGAGCCAAACCAGTCTTGGCTATGGAAGTAGTATTAATTAGCCCAGAAGTTGTCAGGATGAGGGTCCTATTGCTGTAACCTTAGAATGGATGTCACCTCCCCAGCTTGTGGAACAGATGACGTGTAGAGTTCACACTGAAAATGAGTGTTCTATATCGATGGAAGGGATTCTCTGTACTACATCAAAATCAGTGGCTAATTTCTCCTGGTGTGTTTGTACTTTTATTCTAAGTATATTTTTAAAATATATTTTTACTCATTTCAGAGAGGATGAAAAAGTGAGAGGTAGAAACACCAATAGAGAGAACCATTGATTGGCTGCCTCCTGCACGCCCCTACTGGGGATGCAAACCGGGCCCAGGCCCTGACTGAGAACTGAATGAGTGACCTCCTGGTTCATGGTTCGACTCTCAACCACTGAGTCATGCCCGATGGGATGTACTTTTTTTCATCTCATCTTAATTAGTTATTTAAATTGTTGTCAACTCTGATTTTTTCTTCCCCCTGATTTTATTAGCTACCTCAGTCAACACCTGTATTTGATAATTCCTATTGCTAAATAGTTTAAGTTGGCACAAATTTGGATTAATTTTGATCACTTTAGTGAACAGTTTTAATCTGGTTGAAAAACTAGGGGAATAAGGGATCTGTTATACAAGCAGCTTCTAGATTTCAACATGAGAACTTTTATCAAATGGTTAATTTACAGTTTAACATTAGAAAAAGGGTGGAATAGGCCTTTGGTATATGTGGAGTCCACCAATGCTAATGTAATCTACACATGTATTTGTACTTCTTCTCAAAGGTTTAATTGTTAAAGTAATAGGAATTTCAAATTTAAAAAAAAAACAAAAACGGAGGAGGTGGTTGTAGGGAGAAGTTGATGTAACATTTTACCTGGCCAATGTTATGGTTATTCTTAGTAGTTCAGTCTAAGCCACTAAGATTATAGGACTTAACCTGAAGATCATTGAAGGGAAAGAAGGGTCTAGAAAGTGATAAATAAAAGTTGGTTCCCAATTGGAGTTGGTCAGACAGGTCTGCTGCAGGTTATATGCCAGAAGGATCAGACACATAAATAGGTAAGTGTTACAAGTGTAGCGGCTGCTTTAATAGATGTTGGCATGAAGATGCAAGCTGTGTGGTTATCAAGTTGTCCCCAGCAGAGAGATGCAAAGCAGCAAGGCCTTATGAGGTGGTTAATGCAATAAGGTGCAAGGGTCAAGGCTGGAGTAGGGAAAGGAAGGCCTGATGTTTAATGGAGGCCTGGTGTGCCACCATGAGGAGCTCTGATAAAGGCTGCTAAACGCTGTTAACGATGAGATTTTTTTTTTTTTTTGTTTCAAGTAAGCTTCAGCTGCATCTTTATTTAATTTTTTTAAATAAATTTTTATTTTTCATATTATTACAAATGTTCCTTCCCCCCCCCCCACCATTGCTCTCCTCCACCAGGTTCCCACCCCACCCTCTGCCCTTTCCCCACCCCCATTGTCCTCATCCATAGGTGCACAGTTTATGTTCAGTCTCTTCCCACATCCCCCTCTCCCCCCATTTTCCCCAAGAATTGTCAGTTCACTCCCCTTCCATACCTCTGATTCTATTATATTCAACAGTTAATATTATTCATCAGATTTTTTTAAATTTCCTTGGTTTTTAGATTCACTTATTGATAGTTACGTATTTGTTGTCATAATTTTTATCTTTATTTACTTTCTCTTCCGAAAGAACCCCCTTCAGCAATTCATATAATTCTGTTTTGGTGTTGATGAACTCCTTTAGCTTTTTTTTTTTTTATTATTATTAGTGAAGCTCTTTATCTGACCTTCTATTCTGAGTGATAGCTTTGCTGGATAGATTATCTTTGGCTGTAGGTTCTTACTATTCATCACCTTGAATATTTCTTGCCATTCCGTCTGGCCTGCATGGTTTCTGTTGAGAAATCAGCTGACAGTCGTATAGGTGCTCCTTTATAGGTAACTACCTGCCTTGCTCTTGCTGCTTTTAATATTCTCTCTTTGTCTTTTGCTCTTGATATTTTAATTATGATTTGTTTTGGTGTGGTTCTCTTTGGATTCCTTTTGTTTGGAGTTCTGTGCGCTTTCTGGACTTGTAAGTCTAATTCTTTCACCAGGTGGGGGAAGTTTTCTGTCACTATTTCTTTCAGTATGTTTTCGATATCTTGCTCTCTCAACTATAAGATATTTTTCATTACCGCCTCCGAAGAACTCCAAAGTACCTTCTCAGTGATCAGTAATGTGACAGCAGATGAGTACCCATCTCTCTGGAGCTCTGTTCCCTGCCCCAGAGGAGATGATATGTGCAGTGGCCTGGAGAGCAGAATGAGAAGGTGGCCTATCAGAACATGGTAGACATGGAGGGCTTTGTGCTGCTGCAAAGAAGTGGGCTGCTCTGCGTATAGGGTATAGATGGAATGAGCTGGGTGAAAGACTAAACAGGGGAAAGCTTCTGGTACAGCTACTTGCAGATTTTCTGCACAATTAGGAGCAATGGGGGAGGAAGCCCCTAAATGTGAACTTAATGGAGCAGAGCTGGGCATCTTTAGATCATGAAGCATTTTATTTTAAACCTACCTCTAGTTTTTTCATGGGGTTTAAATAAAAGAAATTTTTATTTTAAACTTATACAAAATGGTGAGTGAAATCAGGAACTATAGAAATGAAAAGAGCCGAAACCGGTTTGGCTCAGTGGATAGAGCTTTGGCCTGCAGACTGAAATGTCCCAGGTTCGATTCTGATCAAGGGCATGTACCTTGGTTTCGGGCACATCCCCAGAAGGGGTGTGCAAGAGGCAGCTGATTGATGATTCTCATCGATGTTTCTAACTATCCCTCTCTCTTCCTCTCTGTAAAAAAATCAATAAATATATCTTTTTAAAAAGAAATGAAAAGAGATATTATCATCCCTTTTCAACTGTTCCTATCTAGCCTATGATCCAAGTATTTTGTTGATATTGCTTGATAGCAAAAGGAGCATCTAAACAGGGCTTCTGACATAACACTGCAGTTTGGTCGCCCAGGAGCACCAGTGTCCTCAAACTTTTGGACAAAGTGCTGGTGGGAAGAGCTAACAACTACTCACCAGGTGGGGATTAGAGGCAATAAAAGCTCACAGCCTCAGTGCTGGCACTACAGGTCTCCTGGAGTGTCTGTTTCCCAGAGGAGTTCCCGGCTAAGGAAGCCAGCTGGCTGTTTGCCCAGTGCCATCTGGAGACCTGGGAGTGTCAGAGAAGTTTGTTGGGCCTTTTAGATGTTGACAGTGGACTTGTCTACTGACAGGTGGTGACCTTCACTGGGTTGGAGGCAGAAAACTATGGCGTTGGGTTTGACTCCGTCCAGCCTTCAGGCAGAAATGCCATTCAACCCCCTCCCACACCTATTGCCCGTTTAATGGCCACTTGGTCTTTCCTGCCATTTGGTGGCATCCGTTTCCCCCCAAATTCCTTCCGCCTGTCAGTTCCTAGCCAGATCTTGCCCAGTCTAGCTCCATCCAGTATGTGCTTACTTGAAGAATCTGATGGCCTGAAGCAGGGTCACTTGTATTAATTTCTAAGGGCCAGAACAAAATATTCCATAGCACTCTCCCAGTGGTGAGCTTAACCCTTCACGGTTTGAAGGACTTGTTATCCTAGTTATTAGAGGAGAAGGAGATCGTAATGCAGGAAACTTAGAGTCCTGTGTAAAGCCAAGCTTTGGGCTCCCTGTCAACTATTTTGTCATCAGAGGCTGCGAAACTCTGTGAAAACCCAAAAGGGAAATTCAGTCTATTTTTCTGCTTACAGTTTAAATGACAAAAGGTTGTTCTGGGCATGATGCTGAAAGTCTGTACACGTTTGGTGTGTTTTTACTTCTTGATTAGGGCAATTTTGCTTGCATAAAAGGGTCTTTGCAAAGGCTCATGGTAATAATACTTTTTACGTCTATAAATCAAAATAGCTCAGTTCTGACAATTATTACATTTAAGGGACAACACAGGAGTGGGTTTCAAATATCTCTTGATTATTCTAAATTATTTGGGCATATGTTTTTAATTGGCAAAAAAAAACAACAACCCCAGACTTTAGAAATTGGTCATTTTTATTCCATCAAGTTAATGGTGAATGGCTTATTTAATAAAATATGTCTGCAATTTAGCACAAATAGCACCGTATAGCTGTTCATTTGTCAATCTTTTTGCCCGTATGAAGCATCTTAGGCTGTTTTTATTAAAGGATAGGGTCACTTAGAGGCGAAACCAGTCATTTTAAATTATCCTTCCCCAAGCCACTAGGTTAGGTGGGCGCTGCAAAAAGCACCCCTTCGTGGGTGAGAGGGAAATCCTCTATTTTTTCCTGCACTGAAAGCGACTCGAGAGAAGACTGACTTCATGCCTGCAGAGGAACGACTGTCTGAGAGCAGCGGGTAGGGGAACGGGCACCTCTAGCCACTGCTGCGTGCCTTGGCCCACGTGTGCACTGGGGAGTTGTAAAGTGAGTGAGCGAATCCAACCCGGCGGGAAGTCCAGCCTCGGTCTCCAGGAGCCGCGTTCTCCTGTGGGAGCACCGGGGACCCAGGGTCCTTGCCTTCAGCATCTTCCCCCGAAGTTGCGGAGGTGCCGGGAAAGGAGGGGCTTCGCCACGGGCGTCCGAGTGATTGGCTGCCCGGGGCCCCTGGCGAGGGCCGTGTGGTCCAGCCCGGGAGGAGAGGGGCGGAGCGGCCACTGTTCCAACCACAGCCGCCACCGCCGCCGCCGCCGCCGCCGCCGCCAGCCGCCGCAGCCCCGGCCGCTGGGCAAGCACCTCCGGGCGGCGGCTTCCTCGGGTCCCCGACGCGGTCCCGGGCGCCGCGTTCCGCTCGCTCCGCGCAGAGCCATGCTGGGCGCGCGCGCGTAAGCCCCGAGCCCGGCGGCCGCCGACCCGACCCCGCGGACCGGTCCTCGCCTCCGTCCAGCTTTGCGCGCACGCACCTCCCCGGGTCCCCGCCGGTCCCTCACGACCATGCCCGGGGCGACCGCTCTCGGGGCCCTCGGGCCGCTGCTGCTGCTGCTGCTCGGGGGGCGCGCGGTCGCGGCCCCGGACGCCTCGGCGCTGGAGGGCGCAGAGGGCGCGGAGCCGCAGCTGGAACCGTACCACGACCCGTGCAAAGCCGGTAGGTGCGGCGGGCCGCGGGCAAGTCGGGCAGAAGTTTGCCTTTGAAATGCAAATGAGGCGGTGGGCCAGCCTGCGGGCCGTCTGTGGGGCGGGTCTGCGCTCCCCTCCCCCCCTTCTCCCCCGAGGCCCCGGGCGCCCCGGGGAAACAATGCCCGGAGGCACGGTGTGCGGGGCGCTCGGGGCGGCGGCCGGGAGCGTTTCCGAAGCGAATCGGGGGGATCAGGGCGGGTGCCCGCGGCCTCAGGGCGCTGGGGCCGGGCGGGCGCGGGCTCCGGTGCCGCCTGACAGCCAGGTGGTCGGCGCGGGCCCCGCCGGACGCGCGGCCGGAGCGGAGCGGAGCGGAGCGGAGCGGCGGGCGGGGCAGGGGCGGCGTTCCCGGGCTCAGGTGCAGTCGCCGCCGGCTCCGATTGCACCGCGTTTGTAAGTTTTGCGCAAAGTTTTCCTACCTCTTTGTGGTTCGTCCTGGGGAGAGAATGTTTAGAAGCCGAAGAGCTAGCTCCCCAGCGGGCAAAGGAACGGCCGGGGTAGCGGAGGGAGACCGTGCGTGACTCGAGTTGCCGCTGGGTCACTCCCCCGTGGCCCCTCCGTGCGGTCCGGGCCGGGGTCGCCCCGCGGGGAGGGAGGGGTGGAAGGCGGCAGGTGCCGCAGTCCCGCGGGGAGCGGCGCCCCGGGGCGCGCGGAGCCTCCGGCGCAGACCGCGGCGGCGGGACGATGCCGCTCCCGCTCCCCACCGGCCACCCACCGGCTCGTGTGCCCCGAGGGGCGCGGCTTCCAAGCTGGACTCGCGGAAAGGACCGTCCCAGAGGCGACCAGGCTCATTTCCCAAAGAACCGATGGATTTGAGGCAATGCCCGGCTGGGACGGGGGTATTCACGTGCCCGGTAGAGAATGGGCTCGGAGGCCCAGGAAAGGGGTGTTTCCCTCTGGGCATGGCCTGGCCCTTTCCCGTGGCGCCTGCAGAAATGATTCAATAGAGGGAAGAGGCTACCTTCACCCGCAGAAGGGCAGGTGCCTTGGGCCCGTGGCCCAGGTCTTCACTCCCTGGAAACTCAGTTCTCTTAATCTCTAAACTGGGGACAGGAGCCCTGCCGGTGTGGCTCAGCGATTGAACATTTTTCCGTGGGCCAAGAAGTCACAGGATCGATTCCTGGTCAGGGCTCACGCTGAGGTGGGCTCGATCCCCAGTAGGGGGCATGCAGGAGGCAGCCAGTGAATCTCTCATTGCTGTTTCTATCCCTCTCCCTTCCCCTCTCTCTCTAGAAAAAAAAAAAAATCAATAAACTGGGAACGGTAATTATAGGCGGACTCAGATGATTTATGGGGAACTTCTCTGCAAATGGAATAATGATGTTGGCCCTGTAATTATTTGTGTTGCTACCGCAGTGGTTGTGGTCTGAGCTGGCGCAGGGCAGGTCGGAATTAGCTGAAATCTGGAAAAGATCAGGTTACCAGGAGGCTGGAGGACCCAGGGGGTGGTGAGACCTGAGAATCTTTGCAAAGTGGAAGGTCAAACCAGGCGTAAGGGGCTTGCTCTGACAGTGTAGGAAGATTCCTCCAGAATACCCACCTATGGCTGTACCTTGCAGGGCTTCTGAGTGGGAAAGGTTCCAGGGTAATTTGAGAGAATATCAGCCGGTAGCATGGCCCTGTCTGAGTTCATCTCAGTTCATCACGGGTCTCGAGAGCACTGTAGGAATGGTGGTCTTGACTTGAGAAGAGGGAAACTGAGGCTGCAACAACGGGACAGGGGTTAAAGAGGGTGGATCAACTTCCACCTGCACCTGTCCGATCCTTGACTTGAATGTGTGAACCTGTAGGAAGGAGGAGCTGGAGTCTGGGCTGGGGAAGTGATCAGCTTGTTGAGGAATGTATTGAGCACCTCTGTTATGCGGGGTGATGCAAATCCAGGTGAGAGAAGCCTAGATCTGCCTGGGAGAGCTCCCAGTCCCTGGTCTCAGCCTTGAGGTAGGTTTGCCTATTGGGCCTAAGTTTTTTCTCCAGGAATTTTGGAGGAAATGCTGGATCACCAGAATGTGCGTGCTTTGTGACTCTTCACAGACAGATGGGATGGATAGGCAAGGCTGGAAAGTAGGGGACCGATGATTTTGTCAGCTCCATGCATCCTCCATAGCCATCTCTGATCCTCCCATGTGGTTGGCCTCTCCCTGGGCTATGCTGATGCTAAGAGTGGCCAGAAGAGGGCGACAGCGAGGGAGATCTGGGGAAAAGGCCGCATCTCTCGCTCTGCCTCAGGCTGTGGAAATTCCCTGGTCTGGGGAACAGCCTTCTGGAAGGACAACAGGCAGTTCCCTAGTGCACGTTATAACACAGAGCAGGTGTTCACAAGTACTTCCTGTCAAAATACTATAGAGGAATTTGAATTTTTGTAATAAATGAAAAATTGATTTCATTCCGTGTAATTAGTTAGGGGTTCTTGAATTCAGACCTGATAATTATTGGTAAACAGGGTCTCAAAAATAAGTGAAGGGTGAATTTTATGGTATGTGACTGATAACTCAATAAAGATTTAAAAAAAAAAGTAAGTGAAGATGAGGATGGGCCAGGGCAGTGTTGGAGGAGGAAACATACATATGTCCCAGCTCTGGCCTAGACGCACATTGGGGTGGGTAGTGTCTGGAGAGGGGGGCCAGGAAGGGAAACACATTGGCCCCTTTTGGATGAGGGGCTGAGAAATAGCCAGAGCAACACCCCATTGACCTGTGACCCAGTCCGGGGGGTAGACAAGCAGCCTTGAAGGTTCCGTTTGCATTTGGAGAACCTGAGCTTCTTGCCAAGACCTGCCTGACATTGATGCTCCTTTGGCTTCCGATGCCACATCAGTAGTCAGAGCTCAAGTTCTGCAGACAGAAAAGTCCTCAGTGGTGTCATCCAAGGCAGGTCCCCACTCTGACATCAGCAGAATCCATTTCTTCTTCCTCCTTCCCAGCCCTGTATGTTGGGAGAGTGTCCTTTAATCCTCTGTCCAGCACGGTGAGAGGCGGTGAGAGGAGGGATGTGGCAGTAGCTGGACCACAGAGCCATCTCCAGATGAGCTGGCTCCTGGGATGTGCATGGTCCTGCCCCAGGTGCTGTCAGACCTCAGCCCTGTCCCTGGGAACTTCCAGCTCAGGGGGTGGCATCTTCAGCTGGAAAATGCTCCTGACGGCAGCTGCGTGTATCTGGGTCAGCAGGTTGTCTCATTCAGCACCTCCTGTGGTCAGTTCTGGGCCTTCCGCTGATCACTGCTTTCAATCATTTTCATGGAATGCCTGCCTGTCTTGGGACATGGTTGCTGTTTGAGCATCTAGCTCCTCCTCACTCCATTTTTTTTTTTTTTTTTTTTTACCCAAGCTTTGGAGTCAGGCTGACTGAGGTTTATATCTCGGCTGTCACTTACCAACTATTAGACCTTGAATAATCCTTCATTCTTAAAGCCTCAGTTTCCTGTAATGTGGTTAATAGAAACTCCTACTTCGCAGGCTCGCTGTTCTAGGAACTTGATATGGTGCTAGATACTTACTAGCTATGTAAAAAGTGTACAGGTTAAATTGAATCCTGTGCACACTACCACTTTCTATTCCTGTGAGAGAGCCCAGTGGCTACACGGGCAAACTCTGGAGGCAAACTGCCCAGGTTCACATCAGGATCTGCTTACACTTTCTAGATCTCAGTTTCCTTGTCTGTAAAATGTGTCTACTATTATCTGCCACAGGGAGCTATGATAAAGATTAAATGAGTGAATATAGACGAAACAAATAATGCCTGGGACATGGTAAAAAGTCAGTAAATGATACCATTTTTTATTATTATCGTCCTATACAAATCCAACAAAGTTTCTAAGTGGCAGGCAACCTAGTATCTGAACCACTGAAGTCCTATAATGCCGGGAAAGATAGCTCCTCTATATCCAGAGACTGTGGTCTAAAACCCACGCTCTCTGCATCTGCCATGCCTCTCACTGGCCTTGAGGTGAGGCTGGGGTGGCAGGTTCCATGTCCTGCAAGCCAACCGGGTGTCTTGGCCCCAATGAGAAGCCAACCCCTGACTGCAGCAGGTCCTCAAATAATGCCGCTTCATTTAAGGTCCCTTTGTTATAAAATGTTCGTGAGATGTTGTAGGAACTATCGAAGATATTAAGTGAGGATGTATTGCATTTGTTTTTTATTTTTAATTAATTAATTTATTTTTTGAGGACTTGCTGTATTTGAAGATGTGTGAATGGTGTTGGGCGGGAGACTTTATTCAGCCAATGGCTCCTCCTAGCTGCTTCCCTTTCCTGTGGCCTCCAGATTCCGAACCGCTAAGGTGTGACCCAGATCGGGGCCCGCTCCCCATTTGATGGAGGGCCCATTCTTTTTTGACACAGAGACGTAGCCAAGCAATCTGAATAGACACTATAACTTCACTGGCCCCCAAACCTTTCCTTCTCAACCCTCAATGTATTTCCCAAGAGGAAGAAAATGATAATGAATCCTCACGTATCTCTACCTTTTTACCTGATTGCAGCTTTGCCTGAGAACTTTGGGTGACACCTGATGGTTTACAAAGCCCTTTTCCTTCTATTCCCTCTTTTGGTCTCTCAGCCAGGAGACGGTCTGGGCTCCTGTGATTCTGTGGGCACTGCAGGTCGGTGGTCTGTGTGCTTGCAGAGGGAGCGGCTGGCCTGGGACCCGTACATGACATTGAACATGTACATGGCAGAACCAGCACCTCAAATCTCTGTTCTCCCCCCTAAGCACATGGCCTCTCCAACCCTGGAACCACTCCCCTTCTCCTGGCTCCTTCCGCACACAGTGCACGCATCTGCGTGCTGCCCCCCGCGAAGGGCATGTTCCTGCGCTTCCTCCCCAGAGCACCATCACGCAACCTCCTCCCTCCCTCTGTCTTTATCCGTGGCTAGGACTCCTACAGCAATGAAGCAATTCTGGCCTTCACAGTGCACTTAGTCCCATTGCATAGGGGAGAACACATGACTAATTCAGGGTGTTACCATGTACC